TGAAAAATTTCCTATAGAATGGCCAGTAATGCTTGAATGTTTATTGATTACTTCAATATCTGAATAAATATGTTTGTTTTTTCAAACACACGCGGTATTTTGGGTTTAGAAATACTACACCTATTTCTAAAATATATGTGATGTAATGCCAATGAAACTCGTCGTTTCCAAGCTTACTTTAGATGAGAAGAGAAAGGAATTCGGAAGTAACGTTTGTCACAAAACGAAGAATTGATTATTGACATATTGACTTGTTACCTTTGGTTGGTTTTAATACACCAATCATCCGATTATGACACACGGGGAAAGGCATTGATGGCGATTAACAAATTGAGAGGAGTGTCTTTGTTCGTTTTCCTCTTATCAGCGGTCCGCTGATGGACAGCAACCGAAGCGTTACGGCTAAGTGAGGCCCACGTTTTTCGGCTTCACGTCCTAGGGTTTTACCCGTTCTTTTGTCCAGGAAGCCGCAGTGGTGGTTTTTGACTAAAAAGGAAGGGGCTTTATAATAAGAGGCTCACATCTTTGTCATTCATCTTAAGCCAATGGAAATGCTTCAGAATTGATAAGGTTATATACCAAAGAGGTTGAATCAGCCTTTTAGGAGAAAACAGGAAGGACCAAAGCGGAGCGTTTGACAGGAAACACGAGGCATAAAGTAAAAGGAGAGTCTGAGAAAATTAATCTCACAAGTGCAACAGATATCCAAATCATACTTCGGTTATCAACTCCTCCATTTTTCAAGATTTGATCCATTCAAACTATTTGAAACCGTACGGATACTTTTTATTGACCTGACGTGTTTGAAGTAAAAGTGAAATAATCGTTCATGCCGATACAGAAAAGGGTCTCTTGAAAACTGATTAAAAACGCATTCATCGTATGTTATATATTTAAGTTTAATTGACAAATGTCTCAAATTTTACGGATTTTACCATGAAGTTTTGCAGTTGTTGCAAGGTAATAATAGAAGGATTGCTATCTGCGATATAACTTAAACGAATGAGAGACAGCACTCTTCCATTAGTGTCAATTTGATTGAGTGTAACGATAGCGAACGAACACATGCCTATCCAGAAATAAGTTTTATACAGATCTTGTGATAAAAGGACTCATCAAATGGCAATTTGTATCAATATTTTATTTCCAAAGTGCGTTTTGTAAGCTAGAAACGACATAATTGATCAAATTTTGTAATCGCTCCTCTATCGCCCATTTCGTAACAATGAGTATTTTATGATGTTTTCCTAATCTTGGTACATGGCCTTAGGCGTACAAAATCAATAGTTAGTAATTTCCATTCGAGTCAGACGGTCCGTGACTTTCGTAATGATTTTTAAAGTTGAATAAATAATATTTCTGCCTGTCACTCTAACATGTACCGATTCTGTTGTCACGATTTGATCAAAATATCTTTATCATCTCGGCAATTTTATGGTTGTTATTCTTCCTGTTTGTCAAAACGAAAAACGAGAAGAAGAAAAAACGCGGTCTCTAACCAAGATCGTTAAGGGCTTCGCATGCAAATACATCAATTCGATATCATAATCATCCTGACCGCTTTCAATGGGATCAAAACTTTTACATTGGAATAATAAAATACATTATAACTAAATTTAGAGCGGTCTTGTTCTCATAATCCATTCGCATAGTTTATCGAATTCTTCATCAGTTCGACAAGAAAATAATCAATGAAGACGGAAAAAGATTGCCGGCGGTGAATTTGATAAACCCCGACAAACAAGCTGCCCCTAAATACTCCTCGATATGACAATGGTGGGGGTATATTGATATGAATAGAGACGAAATTTGGTGCGGTTTGACGGTGCCCCGGGGGTGTTCCGGAGCAAGCCTGTTAGATAAATACTCGTGATTATAACGTCGCACAATCTGCGATTTACACCAGCATAGACTTCAAGGGCACTTACAAAGACGAAATTGCTCCTTAATTATAGGATGCACACGAACTGCGTAGGTATGGATTCTTAATCATATTATATAAAGTTAGCTCGAAGATGCAGACTCGATAGATTATTAGCTGGGCTACTATTTATAATAAAAGAATGAAACAATTTCGTTTTTTAAAAAGAAGGAATATTCCCATATACTTCATAAAAAGAACCATAATAATTGATCCTCAAAATATAAGAGGACTTGATTTCATTATATAATCTTTAAAATACAATAAAAAAAGAGGTGGAGAGAGACAACCCGGCAGACTGACAGGCCATGAAGAAGAGCGCAATTTGTATTCAACCTCATAAAAAGAAGAAACTCCATGTGCCCTTATTCATAATTATAGATTCATTAACAAAATTCTTCGGTATTAACATTAGGCACAATCCAGAATCATATCGAACATCTCCCCTTCCCACCCAAAGAAGAACCGCACCTGGACACAATTCCGTTAATTACGTCTGATAGCCGTACATGTATGAGATTATTATGGTCATCGACCATTTCTTTCGAACTCTAGACCAGTGTGTTTCAGTGAATGGAAGTTACACACTTTACATTTTTTTCAAAGACCACCAACAATCATCATCCTTTCAAGGTATTGAAATTTCTCTTCGTTTCATTTCCGAGGCGAAAAATATGAAATGCTATTTGCTCCGCTAACAATTTCAATCCAAACCGAAGAATATTCAATATTTAAACAAATGGAATTAAGTCGAGAGGAGAAAAGCCTGTAAACTGCTTATCGATTTAGTAATGCTAACACAGAATACAAAAAGGCAAGTCTCGTTTGCTTTATGGTCGTGTAAAGTTTGCCAAAAATGCCGCAGGCTTAAATTGAATCTTTTGATTCTAGTGTAACGATACTGTATGTTTAAATTTCATTTTGTGACTTTATCAGTGTGTGTATTGTCAAAAGGTTCTCGACAAACACATTCTGCTCGACATCAGGGATATTAGTATATCTGTAGAAGAGATTGTGACGGAGGTTAACGATCGGATGTAGGCCTTCTTTATGATGTAACTTATGCATATATTTTCTAAAATTAATTTTGTTATAAATGGAATTATAGGACATGTTCAGTCTCCCAAACCATTTGTTGTGCATGCCCAATGCCACCTTTTCAATATGATTTTTCTGAGAACAATAAGACTGGAGAGATGATTTGTTTGAACTGGTGACGCAGTGGTATACAGAGGCTAGTGTAATTTTTTTTTAATTGTTTGGGGGGAGGGGGAATTATCTTAGAAATTTACTGAACTCACAGATTGTACTTGAAAAAATACCTTCAATTTTATCCACCTGTCGGCTAGTTGAAGTTTAAACAGGCCTTTCTTTCAATTCTATCGAAGTTTCTTCTAAAAGACGTTTTCCATTAATTATCTCAACAAAATTTAAAAGAGAGCTCATATATTATCTGCCCATAATTTGTACTCCAAAATAAAATGTGTCCTTTCTGATGCATGCCATGGGTGTATTGTAGTAATTTGTTTCATGAAAAAACGCATTCTCCTTTTACTCATACTTCGTAGCTAAGGGATCTGTAAACCTATTTATATATAATTATATTGGATATAATAGTCCTGCGTCGGTTGACAGAAAAAGAATGCGAAGAAAATTGAACAATTAAACTACTGTTGGGTGCGGATGAAATCTTAGGTGTGAAACATCAATGCTACATAGTAATTAAGAAAGAAAAAAATATTGTGCTCTATAATGTAAAAGCACGCTGAACAAAGCCAGTATGGTTGAAAAAACACACAAAATAGAGGGTTGTACCGAAAGCGGAAATATTCTATCAAGGAAATCTAATGCATTTGGAAGTTTTCTTTATTGTATGGGTGAGCGAAGTGTGTAAGTTTGTTTTCATTGTGTAAAAATCATCTCGATGCATGTTCCTACAGTTTGTCGCAGCTGCATCTGAGAAGAAAACAAAATAATAATACCAATATAATATCTGCATTTGAAAAATACTGATGGACAGCTCTCGCAACGATAGACTACAAAAGCACCGCTACTAACCCCACCTGAATGAATAAGATTTGGCCCCCAATTCACTCCCGCCCTAGCCCTGCCAGCCTGAAAGAAGAAAAAAAAGAAAACTTGAAGGAATCTATGCCCCAAACGAGCAGCCAGCTTTTATGGCTGCGTCCCCTCTTGTGTATAACCCATTTTTTCTTGCTATCAATTTACTTCCACCCCTTTCAACGTCTCCCCTTCTGGTATTGTCCGTTTGGGGTTTCGTGTATATACATGCAATGTAAAGGCAAAATGCTGTTTTCTAATTTTACAGATTTATACTCGTTCCCCCTTAGGGCCAGATTAAACCGATGCATTGAAAACGAATGAAATCTAATTACTATGTCCTTGAACTTGGATCAATAGGATGAAAGACGGTCAGGGGGTTGATGAGTTTCTTCTCTTTAATGTCTCCATCTTTTTAAATTGGTAGTCGAAACTCCTCTATGTTTTCATTTCTGCTAGTTCAGATTTAGATAATTCGCGGTTATTTTCCTGTCGTCGCAAAGATTGCTTTGAAACAATTTGTGTTTCAGTATTTCGCCTTGAGCAGTATTGGCCTTTGATTGTACATATATTTCAACTTTATGTGATGTTTGTTATTATCATCTTAATTTTTTGTTGAAGTGTGAGGGTTTTGTGGGTGTTTAAGGTCTATCCTTCCCTTTGTATATAGAAGGTTACCCTCGCAGAATATATGCATAAGCCACATCTACAATTATTGTTATGGATCTTCTAAGTGCATTTTTTTTTACAAAAATCCGTTTATTATTTGATATGGTTTAGAAAAATCACATATTGATTCGGATGTCATATTTTTAAAGTCCCGCCTTCAAGAAAAGCTCTTTATCGAATTACCTTTCTTTTACTTTCTTTGTTTGTATAAATGAAATAGAATTAATGTTAAAGATATACAAAGTGCTCGTAATTGAATCAAGAAAAAAGAGACATAATAATTGTGTATCATAAAACAATCGTGAAGTGAGCTTTTGATCTTCATCCATTTTGCCTTTTGTTCTTCCAGATATGTTCGTGAGTGGCTTGGTGCCATGTTAACTTCTCAAATCGTCGAGGTCGAAGGAAGAGACCGCTTTTTTCTGCCGCCACACCGAGCCATCTTTCTCGGCCGAGACGGGCCAGGAGAAGAACTCGCCATTCTCGCGTGTGCCTTACCCGTGCAGAGTCAAGTCTTTGAGAATATCGTCGAGTGCTTTAGGAAAGATGGTCCGCGAGGTAGGCTATTTCATCTTCAATTGCATCTTCAATTTCATAATTGAAAGAAGGGTTTTAACGATATACATAAACAAAAACGACTCATGTTGACATTCTCGAAAAAGTACCCAAAACATTTACATCAGTGTTAACAATTATTAATCATGAAATCTCTCCAAGTGGTTTTAGACGAAATACATCTTTAAACAATCGATATATTTAATTTCTTAGTAAGGAGATTTACATGTACATATATTCCTAAGTATCTTAATAGGTTGAAGATTTAGAGGTTTTAGTTCCCATGTAGGCCTATATTATAATCCCAGTATTTCTTGTTTATTCTTCTTTCTTTTTCTCAGTTCCCCTTTTCTCCCTCTTTTCTCCCTCTTTCTTATATTTTTCTCTCTAGTTTTGTCAATCTGTCTTACCAATGATACATGTATCTAAATATTGCATTCAACTATATTTTAGGTGATATTTCAACCTTCTGAAAAAGAAAGTATCAAAGTAATGATGAGGTATTTCCAAAAAGACTGATGAATTTCGTTGTTATAGAATTAAAACCTGTCTTGTGTTATACTGTAATGTTAATCCATTGATTGTCTTTGATGTACAGGTGTGCCTTATGATTACTTCGACAAATTCCACGGGTTCATGAGCCAGTGTTCCAATATCTGGTGGGGCAAGAACTTGGTCAACTGCTTCCTCCCAACTGTACCTGGTCTAACGGAGAAACTTGGTATGTAACCACCCCCTATCACATACCCACACACACACACACACACACACACCACATAATTCTCTCTGTCTACTCTATTCCCTTTCGTCCATGTAATCCTTTGCAAATATTATATCGAAGTAGTATAGTAGTACATGAACTTATTTGCTTCTATCGGATGTATTTTAACCTGTCGTCTATGAAGTCGACACATTCAGGGAGTAAAGTAGTTCACTATACAATGATTTGTTTTGTATTGATCCTTCAACAATTATGCGATATGGCATCAACTATGTATTTCTAATTTTGCAATTCAAATGTCTGTAATTCAATGTTCTTTTATAAAAAAAAACTGTCTCCATGAATGTCGTATTTAGTATTATTTATGTGTAAATGATAATAACAAACTTTAAAATTCATGTTTTGGTTTGACAGAATCTGGTATCACAGTTCTGGACGTTGGTTGTGGAGAAGGCGGTGCATCTATTCTCATGGCCAAGCAGTATCCTAACTCACGGTTCATAGGAATCGACATCTGCAGCTACGCTATCCAACAGGCCAAGGGTTACGCCATCGACGCCGAGGTAGAGAACGTCGACTTCCAGATCATGGATGCCCACTTAATGCCGGACGAATGGGAGTTCAAGTTCGACTACGTCCTCGCTAGCGATTCCCTGCATGACATGGCACATGTGGGCGTCGTGTTGCGAGAGATACAGAAAGTGCTCAAACCCAATTGCCACATGTCTGTCCTGGAGGTTAACGCCCGTTCCGACATCGTCGACAACTTATCGATGCCGTTTGCCTCCACGTTCTACACCAACAGTCTCTTTCACTGCATGACGGTATCGCTGTCGGCCGACGGCGGGGAAGGGCTCGGCAACATGTGGGGACGGGAGAAGGCCACGGCTGCGCTGACCGAAGGCGGATTCACGGTCATCGACGAGTCCGTTCCCGAGGGCTGGTTCAATATACACTACGTCTGCATCAAAACTGACAAGAAGGGCCGTTCGTCTTCTGACAGCGCAACTTCGACGCGTACATTAAAACCGGACGACTGATCGAACATGAGATGTCAATGATTTAAGACATGGAACTAAAATTCGGGAAGAGCATTGTGCCTCAATCCTGACACATATAAAACTGACTATTATTCAACCACCGGAGGATATCGTCACCTATGACTGCTATGAGAAAGACGTATTCCGTGAAAAAATGTTAAGAATTTCCTGATTCCACCGCCATTTTGATAAGCAAACACGTACACTTTTTAATTAATAGCTGCCAGGAGGTAAAAGTTGTAAAATGTACATAATAAAAATCATGAATGACAAGAAATATGCAGTCTGGCTGAAATGGAATTGTTTCAATCATGGTATTGTACAGTTTTGAAACTCTCCTAAACCATCGTTATTTATTTTCATAAGATAGCAACTTTATAGCGCCTGTATATACAGAAGTATTGTATTCACAAAGTAAAATATTGTGTATCATGTATATCGGGAAATGTACAAAAAAAAATAAGTAGCTCTCTCCACAAATTTATTGGAACTATCTTCAATGATTATGAAATCAAAAATGGGAACCCTCTAGGTATATGGTAAACATCAATGTGACTATAAACTAATTTAGATTCTTTATTAGGTTCGGATACTGCTCAAAGTTTGGAGGTTTTTCAAAATTATCCAATTACTTGATGTGGTATAATGTATGTTAAAGACTGATAAATAAGCATGACTTTACAAAGACGTCATTGCAAGATACATTTGTTAAAGCAATATTTGCTACCTTCGTTCATTATAGTTTTCCAATGATTTTTAGTCTCAATATATTCATTCACGACGTTAAGATGAGAACCATAAATCGAATTTACTTGTGTTTTACTCAACCTGTGTTTCTAAGTTGTTCTAAAGTAATCACCAGTGATCATATTTATTTTATCAATTCTGCATGTATTCAATCAAAGTTGTGTATTTACACTATTCTTATTCATGTCTTTGTAAATTGTTTGGTAAGAAATACTATAATTCTGAATCGTAAAACTGTGTGAATGTTTTTTCACTACACTCCCAGTTCCCTATCTGTCTATCTATCTAACTAAGTATCTTCTCCCGGTTCGGAGGTTGATTGCAGCATCTCTCCATTTCACTCTATCTTCTGCCATTCTGATGCACTCTTGCAGTTTTAATCCTATCCAGTTCCTGTTCGTGTTCTTGTGACCCCAATATATCGGTACGAATACACTTGATATAATAAAATTTCCACCCCAGCCATTTGACATCTAAAAAATTCAATATCAAACTATCTATCATGTTAATAAAATAGCTTTGCTATGCGGTAACAGGTAGTTACGGGATCGGAGCATTGGTATATTTTATGGAATAATTCTAAAAGCAGCACCGATAAGTTACGTCAAATATGAACAATTTTTAAAATGGTATATATCTGGTATTCGTATTGCTCAGGCACGATAGAAATGGGTATGTATAAATGAATACTCATATTATTAGGATAGGAAGGGAATTAAATGCTACTTAAAAATATATATAATATGAGTATGGGAGGATGAGTTGCATTGCTTCTCTTTACAATACGATAGCCGTTATGAATAGAGAAATTAAATATAATCTGTTTTGATAGCCCTTGCAATTGGGCCTTTATTTCACTAATTGTATATTTATCCAGCGGAATCAGCTGAAGGTTCGATGTAAATTCATGGCGAGGTTGACAATCAAGAATAACCATGGTAACTATTGAAATATCCACCATGACGTCATTGGGAAAGTGGGAAAGAAGGCGTTTTTGGCGCCGCTGTAATTGGGTGAAATTAAAACGTCTGTATAATTTCATCGTTTTCAAGGTTGCCATTTTCAATCAGTTTTCCACAACTTAATGAAAATTCCTGCAATGTCTGATGTTTTAAAACGTAATGGCCTTCCTTATACTTCTCGATCTAATTATTTTAATGAAAGATACATTTTGAATTCAATGTTATTAGTATTAAGCTCCCCCCCCCCCCCCCCCCCCATTTTGATAGGGAATCGATATTGGTGTTTTATCATACATGTACATCATAAATTGCAGATATATCATTGGAAGCTTGGAAGGGTTATTCCGGCTCTATGCAGTATCTTAGCGGTATTATTTTTGTTAGAATAAGGCAAGTTACAGGCATATGAAATAGACTTACGTCCTGTAATTTTAACGCTGGAACATATATTTATCCCTTATTAGAATCAAGATTATTTTACTTTTATTCTTTGTCTACGCAAAACATCACTGTTTGTAAATATGTGTATTTTGAATTCTTTCTCAAAAATGTCTATAAATTTTCTGTAATAGTTCTGCGTTTTATATTCAATTGTAATTGTTTTAATAAATATTTCATTTCAATTACTAATAGAGGGCTACATGTTTTAATTGATTTGTTGTAATTTGAAAATGTGAACAATGGCAATGTTTGAAAAGACATTTTTCTCAGTTTGGGAAATCGGGAAGAGGCAGGTCCAACAAAAAGAGCAAAATGGGGGGGGGGGAGGGGAGGGGGGGTTGGTTAATTGGTCCTTGTTGTGACATTGCACTTGAAATTGCTTTATCACCCAAGTCAGTTGTTTATTGTCTGTACCATTGATGCATGACATGACTACATGCATATTATGTAAAAGCACTTCCTCGGGCAATGTGTCTAGCATAGCACCATCTATTGCTGTGCACTTGATACACATTCAGAATTCGACATGAATTTCGTTGTGTTGTGAGGATCAAGGATCCTCTTTATGCCAGCGCATCATGGGGATTTGAGCCATATTATTGTCATAAGGGCAGGCAAAGAGGTTAGTTTTGTCACCCGTATTACATTCTGTAACAAGTTTGGATGTATTTATTAATTAAAAAAACTAATCATGTATCATCACGAAAGCGGCGACTTGTTTGCTTGAGTGAAAATTAAATTACAGTTGAAGAACACAAACTTGAGGAATGTATGGAGGATTTGTGTTTTAGGACGGTAGTCTACATTTGCCACACCCCACCCAAGTGTAAATGGGTACCTGATTATGCTTCAGCGCTAGTTACTTTGGCGACTCTACCAGGGTAATAACGTCTAAGCGACATGAGCGTTACTGTGTGGCGGATACGAGAGCTATTATAAGAAGCCATTAAGTCAATTGAGTTCATGTTTCATGGAAAGTATAAAAGGGGAAAAAGGAAGAAATAGTTCTAATGCCAGGTGGGGAAGTATGTTAGATTAAAAAGTTTTGTCCGGGAATTTAAAAGCATAACAAAATCGGATCTATTTGAAGCATGGACAATCAAGAGAGGGGAAAAAGCGGGGAGAAAAGGGGGAGGGAAAAGGAGGGAGCAAAATGGAGTGAGAGAAAGAAAAGGGGAGAATGAGGAAGGAAAAGAGCGATAAAAGAAGGAATAAGAATTCACCCGATAGTTGACAGAAGACTATTTCCAAAGTACAATGTTGGTCATAATGGTGGAATAATTTTTTTTAAAACTCAATTTATGGAATGATTTATTCCTAACAGATCTAGATAATAGTATACATTCTCAGATTTGAGAGTGTTTGTTTTGCGTGACTGCTAAAGCATGTGTGTGCTACTATGCTAATCAACTAGGGGACCTACGTCCTTAAGTCATAACTGACAGTAATGAGGGTTAATGCCTCACAAAAGGGCACCAATATAGCTGATCGACACGGTTTTCACTCTGGGACCTCACAGTAACGGGGCCATTGCTTAGCCATTGAATCATGACTGTACGCAGATGGGGCTAGGGTACGTCGCCGTCCCCACAAATACCAAAAAACAAAGAAAATGCAAAAAATTATCAATAATTCATTGCATTTCCCCCCGGTCCCCAACAGGAAAAATTCCTCTGTAGGGCCATGCATTATTGTTCAAGGCAGCAGTATATACGTACGGGGGAGCTTCAACTTGGCCAAATCGGTATTATCACTATGATGTATTGCCGGCCAACTTTCCCATTTGTTCCATCACACAAAATGACTAAAACGTCATTTTGTTTCTCTTCAAAATGTATAAGAATCGGGAGGCTCTTTTCTTTTCAGAGGACATTTAATCATATACTATCCATAATAATTTTTTGTTTTTAGTAGTGCCCCAAAGAGGAAGGCACTTGGGATAAAATCAGAAATTAATGATATTTTTGTACACGACGAAGGGGGGAGTTGTCCGTGACTACGTCACAATCCACTGACAATATTCAAATATTCATAACTCTTCTTATTGGTCTGATTTATTTCAAATTTTCGCCATCCAATTCCTCATATTTCTTTGCTTTCATGAACTTATTACAAGAGTTAGGTTGCTCTTTAAGGGGGCGGAAAGTCTTCTGAGGGCCAATACTCACAGTATCTACCAAAAGTTTAGGGCAAGTCAAATATGGGCACTAATTATTTCCCATATGAATTTTATAATAGTGATATACACATTCAAATTATGGACTCAATTGGTATTGCATCTCTGAATATCAAGTAAAATTATCCTTTCATTGTACAATTTAGTTAATTTTCCAGTAGACATATTCCGATATTCGTTTGTAGCTTACCTCGAATGCTTCTTTTGTATGCTCTACCAAACTATACAACATTTGATATGCACAGTGACAGCATAGTATATCCAAACTATAAAATATATGTTGACAGGTGAATAGACGCCTTTATTTTATTCTTAAATCCCCTATAAAGAGTTGGGGGCCTAACAATTTGATGGTAAAATTTCACTTAAATTGTAAATTTCTGCAAGGATTTTCAAAACAAATGTGTTATGAAGTAAAATATTGATGCAAGAATACAACATTTAGGTCTTCTGTGTAAAAAAGAAAACACAGATTATGTATTATTTTATCAATATTTGTCTTCTAACACATTTTTTTTTTTGGGGGGGGGAGGAACTTTGCAGGAGTGTTGTCTTAATTGACATCCTCTTTCATATTATGATGGAATTTAAGTAAAATTTTGCTATCAAATTGTTGGCGAATGTGGGGCTACCAACACTTTAGAGGGGCTTTAATATAAAAATTCCAGTATTCCAAATCTCTTTATCACCATTCAGCACGCAACCCTCGTCCCTAAGGAAAGTAATGACGTACACAAAAGTCCATTAACGGCACAGTATCTCTCTTTGAGTATATAAAATACATTTATTGAATAAAAATTCTCAATTGGGAGCTCGGTAACTGTTCTCCTCTGCCTAGAAGACTAAAAATATTCCACAATGGTAGGATTAGAATTCTACACACATCTGTATGCAACAAAGGAAAACCAATGGCAAAGGATTTCTTCCTTTGCCAGAGAAACCTGCTCAGGTGGAATAATAGTTTTCAATCTGCCTAACTGCACAATTATGCAAATACTATTGCAAGTAAGTTGTGCAAGGCTAACACATCTGCAAAAACACGAACCTCATTTCATTATTCTGCCACAGAAAGGGAAATATTCCAATTGATGTTCTTGTAGAGAAAGCAGCTTCTTTCTTGTGATGCGGTTTATTTCCTATTTCTTTGTAGCGCTGGCTTTCAAAGCGCCTCTTTCGATGTGTGGCAAAAGTCAATACATGCGTATGTAGTAGTGGGATTATCACAGCGTAGGGACATGTTAATCACAGCATGGATGTAGAGCTGGCTATTTTTTGCCATGCAGTGGAGGAAATAATGCATTCACAGGTCCAAGTTGGGGGTCATGTAAAGGGACAAATGAGCTTTGACACCTATACAAATAAAAATTATCATTGCATAAGCGATGAGATTTACGAAAGTGTCAAAATCATTTCGGTCTTTTAGGCCTTAAGATTCAGTACAAGTACGTGCAGATCATCCTAGGGTCCTTGAGATTTCATCAAAACATGTAAAGTTTTATTTTAAAAAGTAGACTTTAACATAACATCATTGTTATGTTTAAAACTCTAATTTTCTCTGTTTCAAAAATTATGAAATCCCATGATAGATGATGCTGACATCACATTCATGTTGAGTTTGAAGAAAGTGAATGCCAATTTGCAAAGATTCACATCATCTATTTGAACCACTGAAGTTGGTAGTTTGTCAAAGGCAGAAAATTATGTTCTCATCATTTTAGCAATGAAGTAATCTGCTAAGAGGTCAAAGTTGAATAGAATGTTTTAGTTCATGATGACCCACAAATTTCCCTCGACAATAACAGTATTCACCTTTATCATTAACCAAAATGAAAGATAGATCACTTTCTTCCTTCAAAACCTTTATTTGCTTCATTAACTTTAGATTAGAATTGATACTCGCTGTCAAACTTATAACTCAACTCTATTTTCAAAATCAAATGTGAAGCAAGATTAAATCACAAATTTATGAAGTACCTTTAATTTAAACCATTCATAACAAATACCAAAGGATCCAGGCATGAGATATTTGGTTCATGAATATCAAAGCTATACACTTCCACTTCCCCGGAGTCAAAGCCATTTTAGATTGGCATAATACAACCTGTAGATGGCAGCATTGAATTTTGGAGACATCTAGATTTCAATGCCAGACTAATGCCGTCACCACTCACCAATACACATCCACTGCAAAACACAGTATCCATACCTACAGGCAAAAAAATGCCAGTCCTATGGAAAACCTGGAGTAGAAGTGGTAAATGTATTTCCAGTTCCACCTCACTAATGTGTTTTTAGAAGCACATTTGTCATAAAGGACACTAATCCCAAGATACAAAACACATGACTGAATGTATTCTATCATCAAAAGATATGTATACAAATGGTGTGTTACACACTCCACAGTCCACAATGCAATTTGTACCATACACAGACGATCATTACATGACACAGTTAGGGGGAATTTATTAGGCAAACAAGTTTCAAAAGAGTGCTTTTCAGGTACCATACAATTGTTGGCTTGAAGCAAATTGAGTTTGTCAGACCATTATCATACCACAAATTCTTCATCAGATTTACTGTTGAAAATGGGGCAATAAAAACAAACAGGCATGAAATTACCTCTGAAATTTTTCAAAAGATTTGCAAATAACGTGGTTTAAATTTGTCCTATCCTAGTACTGTGCCTAAAGCACTTACCCGTACTAATCTGTGCTGCACTTGACAATTCTAAAATGCACAGAACATAATATACCTAAGCAGGTCGGCAAACTCAAAGTTTATGTGACAATGCTAATTTTCTCTTGATTCAATAAATACATTGTATTTCTTTCTTTTGAACTCTTATTAAGGCAGAGGCTTTATTTGATGAATACAGAACTCATTCAGAATCACAATAATGATTTTTTTTTTTATAAGTACTAGTACTTGAGGTCGTAAATCTTATACATGTGTACATCCCTTGAGTGCACAGTAATTGTTCAAAACTTTGTTAAAGATTCTATTGCCATATCACACTTCAGACATTTTACAAATTCTTTTGAATTGTTGTATGTTTCAGAGAATTTTAATTAAAAATCCATGATACATGCATTTGGACTTATTGTATTGATTTGTATTATGATAAGCTATCCTCTAATATTCTGATTAAAATAATTGATAAAACATGAATTTTATTTACATCTAATGTTTTGACTTCTCTGAGGTTCAATTAATTTAAATAATTCTAAAACTTGCACAAACCTCAGAGAAGTCAAAACAGTAGATGTAAATAGAATTCATTCTCCTACATAATGCCTGTCAATATTTCTAGGTACACAGATGTTATATGTATAACAAATACTATCATTACAAGTAAACTGTATACATATATTTTACAAATCATGAGGATAACATCTCCCTGAAAACTGTTGTTCATAGTATGTATGGACTCACGCAATGCCAGAGAGAATATTAAACTTTGGTAGATACTCTAAGCAACTGGTTGCAAAGTTCTAATTGTATCAATAAGACTTGTGACAGAGAAAATGTGAAGAGATTCACACACAATATGAACATCTCCAAACATCTAAGGCATTAAGTCAGCCCGAGTAGCATGGTACCAACTAAAGTTCATCAGGTTCACAAAAGTGGTTTAACAACCCCAGCTTATTCATGAGAGGTATATCGGTACATGCTGAATAAAAATGCCATGACCATCGTATTCTCACCAAGATCCTGCATTCTTTCATGTCTTTATATTTGTCTTTTCATCTCCAAGCATAACATATTTTCTTTAAAAATCTTTTTTCAACTATTGCCACAGAACACCCTTCAATAGCAAATCAGAAGGCTGTCATTGCAGATTCCTTTTCAAGTCATAGTATAGAGGATTTCTCTTCAAAATCTTTCAAAAAGATTGATTGCCACCGACCATTCTTCCATTTCAGAGATGAAAGCTTGAGTTTACACATCCCACTTCACACCATACAGGTTTTCTCTTGAAGATTTGACCATTGAGGAACTGCATGCGATGCTTTCACTGTTCAAAATCTTCATCATTTAGCGGCTGCCTTGGCTTCGGTCATCTCTTCCTCGAAAGCCTCCCGCCTCTGGGTAGAGTCCTCCATGTAGCTCGTCATCTCCTCTTCCTCCAGACGGGGAACCACCTTGATGCCCATGGAGTGTGCGGACCCGATGGCCATCTTGCATATGTGATCCATAGGGAGACCTTCCATGTTCTCATCTTGACTCTTGATCAGCGCAATTTCATAGATGTGCTTCAGAGAGATGACCCCAAACTCTTGTTGACCTTTGCAAGGAAGAATGTTACAAAAACATAAGGAATTGTCAAATCATGGGGTCTTAATTCCTGCTATATCATTTATCTATCTAGTTTTACTTGAAGGTACAATACCGTTCTATCAATATTACAAACTTTAAAATCTATTACACTTACTTTTCATAATCACCACATACAGTATTGAAATTTAAAATGCAATAAGAGTATATTTGAAAACTAGTGTTTCCAAGTAGTGGGAGTGGGAACGGGATGAGCATCCCAAATTTTATCTGATTACCAACTACAATTAAGTGCAACTTACTAAGGTACTAATGACTACAGAGAGTACATGTATATCTGTAAACTCTTCAGGTGTTCTTTCATAAGTGATGGGGCTAGGGACGCCCTCAAAAGCCATACTCATTTTATTAAATTAAATCTGCTGAACGTGCAATATTTTGTGTGTGAAATACCCTTGCAAGGTGTGCTGGATTATGTAAACTACACATCTGCTGTTTGTTACAGCATTCATCAATTAAAACAACAGAGGAGGAGAAATTAATAAACATATATTCCTACCGGGTTGATATGCTCCTTTCTTCATGCCTGCTGCCTGCTTCAGGAAGTACGAAACTGGTGGTGTGGTGAACTTAATATTGTATGTTCTATCAGGCTACATCATAAATAAACAAAAAATAGAAATCATGTCATCAAATCAATATGGCATCATGGTACGCAAAGTTAATTCATCTACCTCTCTAAATATTACATGGATGGTAACAGAATTGCTACATCGTTTGATCAAGGCAAAAGTTTAGGATTGAATTTTCAAATTCTGATTGCTACTTTTATGCAAAACCAGACTATCAGGCTTAGGTACGAATACCTAGGTCCCGTTGCAAAAAACTTACCATTGATGGTAACTTTGCCATCTATGGTAACTACCATGGAAACCTTGATTTTTATTGGCTGTTGAGCCCTGTTACCTTGGTAGTTGCCATTGATGGCAAAGTAACCATCAATGGTAAGTTTTATGCAATGGGCCCCAGGTAACTTGTCATTCAGTATTGTTGCAATATGATTACCACCCTGATTGACCTATGGTTTTGTAATGTCTACATTTAACAATCAAGAAAGCTGGAATATCAGGTTTTTATTTAATAATATTCTAGAAATGTTTTGTGAACCGACTCACGTTAATGTAGATTTTTGACGGGAGGGGAATCCCATCCTTGATGTGCTTTGTTTTCTCATTGAAGTCTTTACAGAACTGGCCAATGGCAACTCCTCTCTGCAAGGTGATAAGAAATAGATAGAAACACAGAATTACAATTAGAAATTGAATATCATTCTTTCTTGGGGTATCCTAACCCGATTGGTTTACTTGTTTTGCATCTCAACCAAGAACCAGATTCAAAAACTCGGGATTGCTTTCTTATTTACTAGGTGCTCTCTCTTTCTCTCTCTCTCTCTCTTTCTCTCTCTCTCTCTCTTTCTCTCTCTCTCTCTCTCTCTCTCTCTCTCTCTCTCTCTCTTACAAACACTGCTGATCATGACTGCATCTACTTCAATTTCTGGTTACTTGAAACTGTAGTCAGTTATATCTATGGATACAATCTCCAATTTTTTAATTTTTTCCTTTTGTAAGGCCATTTAATCTTCTTAAGGGCATGGACATGATATGGCAATTCATTACTAAATTGGGGCTCATTCTACAGTTATGTATGAAAACATTTACAGATTACTCATTTGTAGTATTCCAAATACAAATAGGTAGAGTGGTACATGTACATACTTGAAGCTTTAATAACCACCCGCACCAGTACGCTAATTTTGGTTAGAATACAGGATTTTTTTCTCAATAATTAGAATAGTCAGGTGATAGTCTTACCTGTCCCAGCACAGGTCCAAGTGGGGGGCCTGGGACAGCTGACCCTGCTCTGACGTACGTCCTGATGACGTTGCCAAGGTTAACTTTCTTGGCTGTATCCTTGGCTGCTTTGGCTGACTTGGTGGCCCTTGACATAGTGGTATTTGATGAGGCAGGCTGTGAGCAGAGTCAGTACTCTTCAGTCCACTACATGTACCCTCTGAAACAAGAATAATGAATTTGATTAAATGATTGTAAAAAAACATGTGTCTAGGAGAACGTTCAAAGGCCGTCTTAGAAATGCCACTTACTTCACCGATGTGCGCACCTGCACCCCACCGTCGGTACGGTATGCAATTGTATTGTGCAGTGGTTCGCTGTGAAGCTTGTGAGAAAGTGTACATTAATTATTATTATGTCTTCGTTTTTAGGAAAAATACTTGAAAAGAGATAAGAAAATTGACACGAAACGGGTAAGAAACAAAACAACTTTTATATCATATTTGAAAAAAATTGATGAAGACTTACAGTAGTTGATTTTTTTTGGTATGTATTAGTAGGGTACAGTGAGCACTAAAAAAAAAACTTCCTCAACCCCCCCCCCCCCCCCCCCCCCCCTTGAGTAACCAAAAACAAAAAAGATTCAGGAATAAAGATGGCATAGAACAACATTCCTGCCTTTTGAGTAAGAAAATTGGAAGAAAAAAATTGGGAAAAATAGGGAAAGTAAGGGAAAAATAGGGGAAAATAGGAAAGAAAAAACAATTGGGAACAAAATTGTGGGGAAAAAAAATCAGCTTACAATTAGCACCTTGTCTTTGGAATTATTTACCAAATTTGAGAATCATAACTTCCTTAGAGACCTTTAAACCCAAACAGAAATCTTATCTTTTTTTAACAATACCTGTACTTGGCACTATGACACTCATCCAAACTTTCTCATTCTTTCTATTTTTCTTATGTGCCTCGGAATAGCATTGTCTAGATAGACGGCGCTATACAAATGCCTATTAATAATTACTGGAAATTTATTCTGAGATGTTCGTTGATTTTTCTAATTTGCGTGTGAAATGCGTCACCAGTTTAAAGCACAACGTGTCAAAATCTCTGTGGTGTGACGTAATTTTACGTATTGACTTTGCCATTGAACTTAAGTTGTGCTTAAGTTAAGTAGGCCCTCTCTCACTTAAATTAGAAGCCACTCGAGCGGATCACTGTACAGTGCCCAATGCGCAAAGTTCTTCGTGGCCTGGTATAGTAGGGGTCGCCGGAATTAGTAGCCTAGACTCTACATACGATTTTGAACTGGCGCCCGGCTAGCTTCCAGTGACCTCCACCGTCTCCACGTAGGATGTACTACTACAAGTCAATTTATACAAGTTGAGAAATTAGCGATGATTACGCATCCCCCCCCCCCCCCCCCAGCACACCCACACAATCACAACATTTGCATAGCCCTGAGAGCAGGCAGCATACAAATATGCATACACTCCGAGCATGAGCCACAGCATGCATGCATATGCATTCGCTGCCAAAGATTAGTTAGCAAAGCGTAGCTCAGCTCAGGCCAGGCCAGGCTGCTCGCGGCCAGGCCAGGCGCTACTTACTCTGCTCCGGCGTCGACGTGCAAACAAACACGCAAGTGACTCACTATGTATTACAACTTACTTCATACTTCTCACAAATGCATATTTCATACGTCAAATATAATGTCTTAGTTTATGCATGAAGTATACTACGGAATAATTGGATGAAAAGGCGAACTATTATATTTAAATGGAGAAATACTACTTAAAAAGTTAAACTTACGTTCTTGAGACTTGTGTTTCAGACAGAGTCAGACTCAGAATCTGAGCTGAAATTAAAGTGAAAGAAGGAGATAAAAAATATCAACATAAATTATATGTTGAATATTTATCGAATAAATATAAATGTTTTTTGAATATCAATTTTTTTCAAATTAAAAAAACTCTCCATTTTTTGCAAGAATTATTTTAGATCATCAAATTGGCAACGAAGCCGTAGTTCACACGCCGAACGTTGGATTGCCGATTTTCTCGTTAAATATGGCTTTAGGCATCACTGAAATAAAGAAGTTGCGGGTAGCTGATCTAAGAACAAGACTATCAGACCTAGGCCTTCCTATAAATGGTAATTATTTTGTTTATTCATTTACTGCTTTTGCAAGTTTTGCCTGTGTATTAAAATTATGCCAATGTAGGCCTATGGCGTTTTCATCTTTGTGCTTAACACAAGACCCACATGTTGAAATTTACGTCGGGAATTTTAGAATGGTGGTTGTACGTGGTGTGACGTAGCCGTGGCCGTAGGTCCTACTCGACTCCGTACTCCTAGCTTAAAAACGATTGTATCGATTTGTATCTTATTACAAAACAAAAAAAAGATATCACCTAGCCTTAATTGCCACACATACCCCTGCATTAACAGAACTCGGTACGGAGGGGCACTGGTCCTCGTCTGCATATTAAACGAGGATATCGGGTAGAGTGCCCAGTATTCGGTCACTTAAGTAGGCAAATTCATGCAAAAAAATATATTAAAAAAATTGACTTGAAAACACATCACACAATTAGTCTGAACCGAGTCAGGAGCAAATATGAAGAAATTATATTTTTAAATGTTGTAAAACCAAAGATATAAGAAGAAAACTGACCAAGTATCTGTACTAAAAATCGTACATGTAAAATTGGTCGTATACATTCGACAGCTGAAAATGATGCGCACGGTTACATTACGTGCGTTCTCGAATCCAAAATCATACCTCACACACACACTCTCGCCATACCGCGAATGGTCCGTCGTGGGGAGCTGGCCGGCTGAGAGTTTGCAGCGATACCAACGCAGCTTCGGAGCTCCGCAGAGCGCCATTTTAGCGGGACTCGGAAAGGTTCGAGGTGGGAAGGCAGCGGCCTAGCTTTTTGCCCAAACAACGCTAGATCGGCTGCTGGCAAAATGAAAATAACTACGATCGAGAACATCGTCGGTTTCTTAACTTTTCAGTGAGATAATTCTGAATTCTAATTGAGACTAAGCCTGAGTCATTACGGTTTTTGTGCTAAACGGTTAACCGTTAAAAGTATACGGGCGGTTTCGTTTAACCGTTTAATAATAATCTGAAAAAGTGAAAATACAGTATTTGTAATAGTGCTGTAGCTCGGAACCCTGCTGGTCTTCAGACTGTTGGGCTGAGCATTCCCAGTCCCAGACTATGGCACAAATTGGGTCATCCTGATAAACAGAGACCAGTAATAAACAAAACATGTCTTATTATTCCTCATCTGAATTTGATATCGTGATTAACCTTGCAAAGTTACTCTGTGAAGATAGCTGATCTGTGACGTGTTTATATATGCCTTTGCAATGCAATGTTTGCACATGGTCAGGGAGAGAGCTCCCTGCATGTATCATTGCCATATGAAATTATGTGGAAGTGTGTATCACACACACCCAAGACACACCCTGCAATGAGCTGATCCAAGTTAGTGACCAATCAGGAAGGTTCTCTAGCTATGTGGGTGGAGTTTGATACCAGCATAAATTACAGGTTGGTGACCGCGCGTGCTTTCACCGTACCCAGTTCAGTGGGAGGTCAAGAAGCCACGCCCACATGTGTGCATGTGACAAGCATGAGCTCTCCATCTGTGTGTATGTACAGTGTATTTGGGCGCCGGAGGTTTGTGTGTACATGTGTGTGTGACTGAGAGAGCATGCATGGGGTAGCATGTCCCTGCATGTCCCTGCATGGACCAGGCAGGGACATAAGAGAGTGAAGAAGTAAAGACAAGTGAGACTAGATAGAAAGGGTGGCTGTGTTAATCGGCTGAATTGAAGAATGATCAAAAACTTAAATTACTCACAATATCCAAGACTTTGTTGATTGATATTTCTAAAACTTCAATTATTATTGTTATCAATATTTTTGTATTTCATTTATATATGAACATTATTTTAGGGGCGAGTCGGCAAGGGATGGATATTAATATTGAGAGAGAGAGAGAGAGAGAGAGAGAGACTCGGGGGAGAAGGGATGTGAGAGGAACTGACCATCGAATGTGTAAACATTTAGAAAGTTGTGAGCTGAGAGTGCAGTAATAAGAAAAGGTACATGAGCGATGAACACATTGCAGAGAGAAGGGAATAAAGAGGGTGAGAAAAGAGAGAAGGGGGCTGGTTGTTTTATTGTTTACAAATTCATTCATGGGGATTACTGCTGCCAGAAAGCTGGCGCGCAGCGGCCAGGGTGTAACTTTACACTGCGGTTTCTTTGATTATCTTTATCATCGACTATTAGCACATTCCAAAATGTATGCAAATAACGGTTAACCGGAGCGAGATATGCTAAACGGTTTTGATGAATGCGGTCGGATAACCGTCGGTTAAACGGTTTGACTCAGGCCTAATTGAGACTATATAATAAATTAAATCGACAAAGAAACCTCGGTAGAACTCTTATAACTATACAAAAGCTTGTTTATTTCTTCATTTGACATTTCGTTTTCGACCATTTTTTCGTGCGCGAGTCAATGCAAACTATGTATTACCAAACTTTCTACACGCAAGGAACGGGGAACACTCGCGGACCTCGTAACAAATTCGTTGCAAAAAACATTTTCGAGGGTGATTTTGAAGCAGTGAAGAACATTGGCGCTGCAATGCGCAGAAATATACTTGAAAGAAACTTAAAAAATAATACCTGAATTTTCAGAAAATCGTATTTGTATCAGTGTACCTAGATGTGACTTGTTTATAAATAAGATTTTATGAAGATTTGTCGGGAAAAAATGTCAATTTTTTCCGTTTGGTGGTCATTTCTAGGCTAATATTTTAAAAGTTGCATCAGTAATGGGCCCGATATTTCTCTTATCGTACTCGCATGTTATTTCTACATAGATTAAACATAGGATGGTTAAGGGTAAGACCAGATAACATTATAAAAAAGATATATTCTTCCACCCTCCCATATCCAAGTTTTGGGCTGATTATTGCCGACCCACCGCAGCAAGGCCATTCAGATTTTCGTACGCGCGCAAAGCGCCCTCTAGTGCCCCATGAATGTGCCTAACTTAAGTAGGGAGGCCAATGCCCGGGCGTAAGGCTTCTACACCTACGGTTTGTGCGCTCGTCGCCCATTTCAAAAAATTAGCAAAGGGGAAAAAATGATGTAAAAATAAAAATTGAAGAAAATAAGAAAAGAAAATACAATTATACATTTCACAACATACCTATAATCACGGATCTGTAACAGTCTTTCACCATTTGTTGACAATCTTGCAGATTTTGACGTTTTTTAATCCAATAATTGTGGTTGCAGACGACCTTGACGCACTCGCACCACCGACTAAGAAAATCCTAGAGGGCGTAGAGGTTTGCTCACTAAAAACCTTCTCATTGGCAGAAGGTAGACCCTAAAAATATGGGATCCGTTTTGAGTAAAGAACTTTTGATAGAGATCAACATTTCAGATGTTCACAATTGCCACTTCTAACAACTAGAAAATATAAAGAAAAAAGATTATATCTTTTTAAATACAGATTTTTACAAACTGAACATTCGAAAGTAGATAGAGTACGATGTTTCTGTCAATCTTGCGTTGGTTTGAGCCCTATAGCTACATCCATCTCAAAATGAGAAGGAAAACAGTGAACAGTGACGTCATTGTTCGCGCCAAAAATAAAGGGTATCAGCTGGAAAGAGAAGCCTATAATCTACGAAAAACACAAAATATGTCAACTAGAATTCGACTGGTTGGTGTAAAACTAGTACTGGAGCACAGGCCAAAATCACAGACACTAGCAACTTGGACTTCATTTCGTGAGTAGAACGATTGTTTCAAAATAATGCGTCTATACATGGAATTTCGTTTTACGACACGTCACCGTTTTTCTTTTTGTAATTTTTTTTTTAAATACTATTTTATGTAACTATATGCCATTTATATTCTTTATTTTACACTCTTTCAATCGAAATATCTTGATTTAAAGCACGCCTTATTACAGTACCATCTACATGTGCATAGCCCGTTCCCATGTCAACCATTTAACAAAATGATTTAATTCATTTATTCATAGAATGCGATTCCAAATTCTTTGAATTAATACTTCGGCACTCAGTAATCCAAGAATGTAAACAATTTAGTCGATTATGTAACATGTTCTATTATGCAATCGTCAAGCATGTCAACAACTTGGCGGATTGGGGGTGGGGGGTTTTCCTTCATTTTTGGACTGTGAAACCTATCTGTATAGAGAATACAAAATACTGAACTTGCTATCTTGGAGTGAGTGTATGTGTGTCTGTATGAGTGTTTGATTCGTTATTGTATGATTGGATACAGAGCAAATACTAATTGTTGTGGGTGCACCGTCAAAACAAACTCTTCCGTTTGCTGTATAAACTGTGACTGTTTTCACGATGAATCATGTCATGTTATTCAAAATGTTTCTGATTGGATGTGCAAAGATTGTATAATATGCATATTTCCTTTTAGTCTGATTAGCGACGAAGATTTCAAATCTAATATGTTTACTGCCGATTCTACAATTTCGTTACAAAATTTCAATACCATCAGACTTGAGTTGTTAAAAGATAATTTGAATGCACTTGATGACATTGACCCTGATTTACATTGCGATATTTTTAAGAACAGTGAATGCAATTATTACATACCTCAGGAATTTGTTTCTAAATATGTCACAAGAGAAGAATATTTCTTTAGTACTATACATTTTAACGCAAGAAGTTTGTCCAAAAATTTCAATGATATTTCAGATTTTTTATCAGCAATTAACTATCCTTTTTCCATTATTGCTTTCACGGAAACATGGCTTCAAGAACCTACACCACATTGTTTCGATTTCTCTGGATATAATTTTGTTTACTCCAACAGAATACAAAAGAAGGGTGGGGGTGTTGCTATGTTAGTAAGAGATTGCTTCGAGTTCAAGACCAGAGATGACTTAAAAATGTGCAATGATAACATCGAATCCATTTTTATTGAGATAAATATATCTGAAAGAAAAAATATTATAGTTGGAACCATATATCGTCCACCTGCTTCCAATATTCCCTGCTTCCTTGAAGAAATCGAGGCACTTCTCATTAAGATTAGTAAAGAAAATAAAAGCATATATTTAATGGGTGATTTTAATATAAACTTACATAATTCACAAAATATTCATGTTTCTGACTTCTTGAGTATTCTCCACTCTAATAGTTTATATCCTTTGATAGACAAACCCACCAGAATAACATCGAAATCAATGTCATTGATCGACAACATATTCACAAACGTTATCGATGATATTCATTCTGGAGTTCTATATTGTGATATTACAGACCATTTTCCAATTTTTCAAATTAACTACAAATTAAAGGTTTCTATTCCTATCTTAAATGTTCGTACACGGCATTTTACGGAGGCAAACATTGCACAATTTTGCATTGGTCTACATTTATATGATTGGACGTGTGTTTATAGATCCACAAATGTCGAACAGGCATATAATATATTTATAGATATCTATTCTGAATTGTATGATAAACACTTTACCCTCAAGGAGAAAAGTAGGAAGAAAAAATCAATTCAAAAACCGTGGATAAATAATTTTCTTTTCTCTTGTATCAATCGGAGAAATAAGTTATATAAGCAATTGAAGTTGAAATTTTCTTCAGATTTGAGTAGGAAGTATAAATCTTATCGAAATAAAGTTACTTTTCTTCTAAGACAAGCACGAACAAAATACTATGGTGATATGCTTAAATACAACTCTAATAACCTGAAGAAAACCTGGGGCATTATCAATGGTATTTTAAATAGAAAAGCTAAAGTCCTGCCGAATCATTTCAAAGTCAACGGTGTGATAGTAGACAATGAGTGCGAAATATCCGAACTGTTCAATAGAATGTTTAATGACGTTGGAACCAAAACAGCTGCCCAGATTCCTCGCTCTTATAAACACCATTTGGATTACATGAACGCATCAAATCCAAATTCGTTATTTTTGTGCCCTACATCTGAAAACGAAATTATAAATATTTTTAGGAATTTAAAGAATACAAATAGCACTGGAGTTGATGATGTTAGTCAAAATATAGCAAAGAAATCTATTCACGCTATAGCCCGTCCGTTGATGCACATTATGAATTTATCAATTTCGACTGGAAAATTTCCAAACCGGCTTAAAACTGCAAAAATTGTTCCTGTACCAAAAACAGGGGATCCTTATGATATATGCAACCATCGTCCAATTTCTTTACTTCCTTGTTTTTCAAAGTTACTAGAAAAATTAGTTTACGTTCGTCTATATAAATTTCTTGAACATAACAATATTTTATACATGCATCAATATGGCTTTCGGCCAAACCATTCAACTGATCATGCTCTTATTGATTTTAATGATACAGTATGTAACGCATTGCACTCAAATAAGTTTGTTATCGGTATATTTTTAGACCTGTCGAAAGCTTTCGATGTAATGGATCACGACATATTACTTTCTAAGTTATCTAGATATGGTATTCGTGGTATACCCTATTTATGGTTTAAAGATTATTTAACAAACAGAAATCAATGTACAATGTATAAAACTCATATTTCTAAAAAACTTTTGATCAAAACAGGTATTCCTCAAGGATCAATTCTAGGTCCTCTATTGTTCCTATTATATGTTAATGATTTATATTGTGTTTCAAAATTGTTTCACTTTATTCAATACGCAGATGATACTTGTTTGATTGCCTCAAATTATAATCAGAATGACTTAATATGTCAAACAAATACAGAACTTATCAAGGTTGTTGAATGGTTAAGAACAAACAAGCTATGTCTCAATGTTAAAAAAACTAAATGTATATATTTTTGTTTGAACAATTCACGGAGTATCGCTTTACCCAAAGTACAATTGGACGGAGAGTTGATTGATTTCGTCGACTGTCATAATTTCCTTGGTATACATGTTGATTGTTATCTAAAATGGGATTTTCATGTCAGACATGTCTGTAATAAAATAAGTAAAACCATTGGAATTTTATATAAATTGAAATATACAGTACCCCCACATATATTAATTCTATTATACAATACTCTTATCTTGCCGTATCTCATGTATGGTAATATTGTATGGGGTTCAGCGTGTAAAACCAGATTAGTAAGTATTTTTAAGAAACAGAAACAAGCTATTCGAATTTGTACTCTTTCGCATTATCTTGCCCATTCTAGTCCTATTTTTCATTCGTTAAATCTTTTAAACATTTTTGAAATATATAAATATCTTGTTGGTATTTTCATGTATCGATATATCGATATATGATATGTTTCAGCTAAATTCAGACATAATCTGAGCTCCGGTCAGATCGTGTGCAAAGCGTAGTCTTATTTATAGACCCTAGTACCTTATTCTAACAGCACTAGATACGAGTGTCGTGCAGTAATGTATGAGAAGTGTTAAAAAAGATATTTCAGTAAAAAAAAAAGTCTACGTGAGCAGTCTATACTCCAATTGAGAATTGAAATGAAAGCCATGATTTGAAGGTGTGTGTTGTATGATACATGGTTAGTGAGTGTGTATGTTACGTATAGCGAAAGGGAGAGAGAGAGAGAGAGAGTGAGAGAAATATTAGTACACGTACGTTGCATGCATGGATGTGCGCTATGATTGTGTTCGCTGCAAGATGGATTTTAATTGGACCTCGTAACTTCTCGATCGTTGATAATAAGGAATACTCATGAGGAAATCGAATTATTGGAATACACATCTAAGGTAAATATCAATGAGTTATATATATTTCTTTCCTTTTTTGAACCATCGTCTTCGGCTCGTAGTAGTAGAAGATGTAATCGTTCGCACATTGATGGCTGGACTTCAGCCTGCATCGGGGCTTGCCTGTGTCGGTGGAGGGATCAACTAAGAAGAAGAAGGTGTGTACGTGTGCGACCGATTCAAGGCTAGCCGCTGTTGAGTGATTGCACTTTCGCGCGAAGTTTTAAACTTCATCATGAACTTTGTCCCTCGGGCCTGTCTACTTATGAACGTAACTTTGCGACATGAAATATAATTGTTTCAAGGCTCTTACGTATGGAAAGGCGTAGAAGGAAGCTGGATAAAAAGAGCTGGATATCTCCTATTTGATGGAACTTCTGGAGTCGGCAGATGGGTGGATTTTCTTAGTGAAAGTAAATGCTTTCTTTTAATCTTAGTTTTAGTATAAACAAATTAGTAATTAAAAAGTTAGATTTGGGCATTGGCCTCCCTAACTTAAGGGGAAATCACTAATATTTTGAATTCTTACCTCTTTTATTTGGTAATCTACCCATCAAAAGAAAAAAAATTTATTCCTCTAATAGGATTTTATAGTCACTTAAAATATAGAATAATGATAAGCAAAATACTTCCGAAAGAAGACGGAGCATTTTTCTGCCCAGAATTCGGTCACGCGATTTGTGTGTGGTATCTCCGTTGCCAAAGAGCGAAGCGTATTTGCGCACTATTTTCACACAATTGCGCGATAAAGCACTGAATGTCAATGCGTTGACCGAATACTGGCCGAGCGATACCGCATGGCAAGGGTATCGTATAAATACCTCTCGCACATCGGCAAATGCGTCATTTGCAAATTCACTGCGATGGAGTGAACACGGAAGTGATTCTCTTCACACACATACTAAATTCATTGCGACAGCACACGCAGTTGTTTCGCAATAGACTTCTACATATGGCTATGCATGTTAGCACATGTGCTAAGAGAACGCAGAAGTGCAGAAAGCGAAAATGTGCAATAAAATACCCCAGTTCACTGTCTACTTTTACAAGTTGTCCCTCTTCCCGACTCGAGACTTTTATCGTTCATAATCAGTAGGGGCACTGGTCCGAGAATAAGGATCGTCTTCATAAACACAGACCGATGCGTCCTCAAAAATAAGGACCGTCTGCATTTTCGCAAACGTTTCATATTTTTGATCGGTGCATTGGCGATGCAAAAAACGTATTCTGCAATGATTTTCTTGATGCATTTTACATTGACTTTGTACAGAGACCTTCGCATTATGAGCAATAATCCTTAATCAATAAAACCCATAAAAGTAGATGGTGAACTAGGGTTATTTTCCCCTGAGGAATCCATTTTTGGCATCGCCAGCAGACCGTTCTGTAACATGAAACCCCCAGAGCGCCGATGAAAAAAAAAACGTCCTCGAAAATGCAGACAACCCTTATTTTTCAGGACACATTTTGTCTGCGTTTATATCCTTGTTTATGAGGACGATCCTCATTCTAGGACCAGCGCCCCTACTGATAATGTGAAATTCTGTGTGATGTTTAAGTAATGCATGCATCATGGATCCTTTACGCCGCGTTATAAATCCTTTTTTTTTTTTGCATCGCCAACGTGCGGGTCGAAAATGTGGACGATCCTTATTTTTTAGGACGCCATTTGTCCACAGTTACGAAGATATCCTTCTTTATCTTGGATTATGCATATGCATGCCTACATTATAATCCAAGCTAAGATGGCGGCCCACATGTTTTGCCTCTTAGACCAATATTATTAATTTCAAAGTCATGAAAAGGCAAGCATGGTCTACAACAACTCCAAATGAAAAAATAATCCCAGCTATGCATTTTTTAAAAGCATTTGATAGCCAAAAACTTGAAAATTTTCGGCATTTACAAAATTGTGAGTTACCAAAATATAAAGGATAGTCAACACTTAAAATGCAGATATTCCAAAGAAAATATTTGTGACGTTACGTCTTGTTTTTACAAGCGTAAATGTAGGTTATTGACAATAGGATTTGGATCTACTGTATATGATATATATTTTCATAAACCTCAATGTTGCTTGTCTTGATGATGTGATTGTTACTTTTTTTCTTCTCTCTTCATTTTAGGATTAAAAGCAGAGCTGGTGGAGAGATTATTCTCATACTATCAACAACAACGGAGCATAGGTAGGTATCACAAGGCAGAAATGTTTGTTATTTTTAGAAAATTGCTGGTTTTGAATGTAATTATCACAATGAGTTTACAAATTCTGAGTTTATCCTGACATCCTGTCAATCATTTTCCAATTAATGTTTGAGATATATCTTTGTTCTTCTAACCATTAAAATACAAATGATTGAAGTAATTTAAAGTAAATGAACATAGATTGAGGAAATGCGATGAGATAAGTCCCAGGTTATTCTGAATGTCACATAGTTTAGGAATTTGGATTTTCAGTTGTTTATTGAAGACCTATGAAGGGGTGCTAGTAGATAATAAAGAATGTGTATGGAATGCGCTTGGTTTTTATCTCATATAATGCATGTATCATTCACATATAGACTGAATATTCGATTTCTTGGAATGATCTTCATCATTATTTCCCATATATATTTACAGAGGAGCAGCAGCAACATGGCAGCCAGCGTGGAGCCCAACATGAGGAATTTGCCCAAGTATTCCAACCAGATAGGATGGGAGAACCACCTACTTTGCATTCTCCTCCAATACAACCTCCAAGGATGGACTTTGGGCAGGCCAATGAACCCCCATCCTTCCCCCAACAGCCACCACCTTCTCAGCAGACCATGCAGATGCCTCCTGTAGCCCACATGCAAGCACCTCAGATGCATTCACCCCAAATGCAGCCTCCTCAAATGCAGCAGCCTTCAATGCATTCCCCTCAAATGCAGCACTCCCCAATGCAACGCCCTCCAATGCATTCTCCTCAAATGCAACACCCTTCCATGCAGCCACCTCCAATGCATCCTTCCCAAATGCAACGCCCTCCAATGCATTCTCCCCAAATGCAGCTCCCTCCCATGCAACCCCCACCGATGCAGTCTCGTCAGATGGAACCCCCTCAAATGCAGCCTCCTCAAATGCAGTCTCTTCAAATGGAACCCCCACAATTGCAGTCCCTTCCAATGGATCCCCCTCAAATGCAGGCCCGTCAAATGCAGCCCCCTCAAATGCAGGTTACTCCGATGGAACTCTCCCAAAGGCAGCCCCCTCAATTGAAACCTCCTCAAATGCAGCCTCATCAAATGGAACCCCTTCATTTGCAGTCTCAACGAATGGAACCTTCTCAAATGCAGTCTCGTCAAATGGAGCCCCCACAAATGGAACCCCCTCGAATGCAGTCTCATCCAGTAGAACCTTCTCAACTACAGTCGCGTCAAATGGAACCCTCTCCAATGCAGTCCTCCCAAATGGAGCCCCCTCCCATGCTAATGTCTCAATTGCAGGCACGTCTAATGCAACCTGAAATTCAGCAACCTCCAACACGACCCCCTCCCATCCAGTCTTCTCAAATGCAACCACCCCAAATGCAGCCCTCTTCGATGCAATTACCTTCTTTCCAACAACCTCCAGCTCCTTTCCAGACATCAGAATCTCCACCTGTCGTGCAAAATCAACCATCATTTCCCACTCCCCCGCCACAGCCTCCCAAACCCCCTCACATGCTCCTACAAGCTAGCCAGACACCCATGCAGCAGCCTCCGCCAATGCCCATCCCTTCTCCTCCAACACCCCCAGCCCAGCTACCATCCCCCTTAGATACACCAAATCTACCCATGCAGCTTCCCAACTTGGGAGCAGGGCAACCCCCTCCTATTCCTCCCCCACCGCCCCCACCAATGTCACTAGCCCAGATGTCAGCAGCTCCACCCCCCGTGGTGCCAGCTGAAACCATATCACCGCCTCCCCAGCACATGAGTGGAGCAGAGATGATGGAGATACGACAGGTACAGGAACGGGAAAAGCATGAGAGAGAGGCGGCAGAGGTTGCCGAAGTGGCTCGTATCGCAGAAGAGCAGCAGGAGCTGATTGAAAGAGAAAAGCAGAGGATCCTCCAGCAGCAACAGGAACGCATTAGACAGAGACAGGAGCAGCAGAGACACGAGGATGAACAGAAGATGCAGAAAGCCATGCAGCAGCAAAAGATGCTGGAAGAACAGCGCCAGGCACGAGAGCTGGATGAGGAGACTAGACAGAAGGTCGTCCAACAACAGGTACACTAGAGATATGCCCTTTGATTATAGATTTGTTTTTCTGATGATATCATGACTAAAGATAACATTGAAAATGCAAACTTAGGAAGTCAGGATTTAGTTGCAGTTGGTTCCTTGTGGGTTTGGTTTGAAACTTGTGTGCAGAATTAATACAGGGGGAACACGAGAAAATCAGCACACAAACATCGTCACAGCACTGTGCCGTCAAGTATCATTTTTTTGCAACCCCCACCTACCCAGCCACACACACACACTATCCAATTAACATGGAGAATCTTCTGCAATATAGTTGTATTCTTTCGCAGATTTTGAGGGGGAAAAAAGGGTAAAATAAAAGAGAAGAGAAGGAAATAGATTGAAGAATCAGGAGGGATGTCCTTCAAAGGAAAACAATTTTATCCGGCCAATGTGATGTATTTAACCTGTATGTTCAGGGATGTTAATCATTTTAATGAATCCTTCATATCATGTTTGAAAAAATCTTAATTTAAGTTGATTTCTATATTTCTAGATTCTTATAGAGCATCAGCGTGTTGTAGAGGAAACTATGAAGGAAGCAGATCTTCTTCGCGATCAACAGAGGGCTTTAGCTGTACAGAGAGAAGAAGAAGTCAAGATCAGAAAGCAACAAGAAATGCTGGAGATTGAGGCTTCACAGCAGAGGGAACATCAGCAACAAGGTATGCAAGCAAGATGGTGGAAGGTTGGAATTCATTGTATAGGGGAAAGGACAGCAGGACAGATAATTTGTAGTTTGTCAAAGTGCAGTAGGGTTGACCGATGAGCATACCCCTATGTTGAGTAAAACTGGTAAAGAATATATTTATATTTTTAGTGATGGGTAAGTTGACCACAAATTACTTTCTAATTCCCCTCATAAAATTTTCAGCATGGACAATAATTTGTTTATCATCAGTGTTCATTCTATGTTTGCAGATGACAGGGGCCTGATTCTGATATTTGTAAAATATTTACTAGACGTATCTTTCACATTTGTAATACTTTTAATGATTAGAGTGTACTGATTTTTATTCTTTTTTTAACATCCCAGTCAATATGGGTGGTCTGTTACCAATCCCAACCACCGGAGCTCCAACCCAGTCTCGTATGCGGCCAGAGATGGAACGCCCACCACGCCCCTCATCACGCTTGGAGCCACCACCCATGGGCCAGAACATCCGAGGACCAAGACCTGGTTTCCAACCAGGGGCTATGGAGCACAGGGGGGGACCACACGACAGGCATCGCATGCCTCAGCGTGATGGCAGGGGTCCAGGACCAGATGGCAGGGGGCCAGGACCAGATGGCAGGGGTCCAGGACCAGAATCCAGGCACATGATGGGGAGAGACCGATTTGAGAGGATGCCCCCTCATCTGATGATGGACAAGGGGCATCCACCCCCTCTGTTAGATGATGGTGGGCCACCAAAGATGGATGGTATGTACCAGTACCTGAAGTTGTTAGTTTCATGGGGTGTCAATGGTGGGGACAGATATAAATGAGAAATGTATACAATTCTCAGTTGTTGGTTTTCTTTTTTCTCTCTTTCTTTAAAAAGATGCTTGCACTTGTACACTAGTATAATGATCCAATGTACAATAGGACTTGAATTTCTATATTAAAACATTCAAAGCCATTATCACACTTTCCGCATATTGCATTAATCCTTACAGAACTAGTTGCTGAAACTCTGCCTTAATTCAAAGTAACCTCGATCTATTTTGGGGGGAACTTTCTAATGGTACAGGCTATGATAGTACTATATCAAAATTGTGTATACATGCACACATATCTCAGATATAAGTGATGTAATTTTACTATGGATTTGGAAACTATTTGGTTCAACTTATTTGATTATTTCCCAAAACATTGGATGCCCCTAAAGTTAAATAGATCATTCATCAGTAAAATTCTTTTTTTTTCCTTCTCCTGTAGATGAGCTAGCTAAAGACATTAAAGTACCACAAGCCATGGAGAAGGTGTTTGCTTTCAAGAATAAGAGAGCCCAGCAGATTGGAGCAAACGTTGATGAAGGTCAGTATCTAACATCACCAATGATGATCTGATGGGTGTTTCAGTCTGATTCTCAGCTTCGTGATGTGTAGTGTCAAAATAGCTGATAAAGATTGTGGAAGGCACTGTTTAAGCTATCTACATTGTCAAAAGAGTACTTTTGCCTAGGATCAACATTTAGGACCACCAAATATATCTGTACATCTTTTTGTTGTCTTTAGTATGTATGTTACATCCTGAGAAGGATATATTTAAAGAAAATTGTTATTCATCTCAATTTGTTTATCTCTCTCTCCCTCTCTCTCAAATACGTACTATCAAACGGATCACAGAATTTGACTTAGTGCTGTAACATCACGGATATCTCCAATTCCGTTTAACCGCCAGTCAAAACCGGACGGTTTTCGGTTAAACGATTTAAAAAAAAAAAATAAAAAAAAAAATAAAAAAAATAAAAAATAAAAAAAATATTAAAAAAAATAAAAAATATTTAAAAAAATAAAAAAATCGGGAAAACGAAACCGTCCAATTGAAAACGGAATCCGCCATGGGCGGTCGGATACCGGACGGTTAAACGTTTGACTACAGCACTAGTAAAGCCATTGTGTAACAATGTTTCCAGTTTTACAAATCCAAGATGCATGGCCCTACGTGTTCTCAGTGTCTGTGATATGGTGTAATATCGAAGCCCTAAAAATATTGCGCTTCAAAATGATCATGAAGTGCCTCAAAAAAAATAAACATCTTTGAGTGACCGGTTTTACCATACTCATTTTCCCCAATAGACCAGTGTGATAAAAAAACGTTGGGGAAAACAGTTTTTGAAATGTCATAAATATCTTGATAATCGGACAGGTGATTGGCTTGTAAAAGTTATGGGATTCCTGGCTGACCTAAAGGTTTATAATTATGATTGCAGCATGAGCTAAATCCAGGATTTTGTTTGGAATCTGAGACAAAGATACCCAATCCCTTTAAACAATGTAAAACTTCATATTTTTAATCTATAACCGTTGATAATTTTTTATTTAGCAGCTGAGAAAGCAGAGTTCTTCCCACCAGAAGGAGAACGTGAAGCCTCCGATGATGAAGCTGACAATGAAGAGGAAGAGGAAGAAGAAGAAGAGGAGGGACAGGAGGAGGAGGGAAAAAAGAAGTCTCAATCCAACAATCAGAAAATGGTAAGATCCATCATAAATCTCCTCCTTGTATAAATAAATCATATATTTCCAGGCTTTAAGTTTACTCTTAAAACTTAAAGCAGCATATTAATATCTGATTTCATTTCCACAGGATAATATTGGAATGATTACACAGGCCTTAAATTTCGTCATTTTTAGGGCAAGGCCAGTTTGGCCTCGAGTACCTCATATTTTTTAAGGGCACCAAGGCCAAAATATTTTTACAAAAAGGGCATCGAGGCCAAAATATTTTACAAAAAGGGCATCGAGTATGAGGCCAAAAAAATTGATTCTATTTTTGTTAGATGTCATGTGTATTTTATGAAACTTGTGCAGAGGAAAGATTGATTAAGAACATCAAACTTGCACATTAAACAGTATTTTAAAGTAACTAAAAATATTGATGAGCAAATGAATAAATAAATTGTCAATTTCACAAACATCGAAAGTCAGAAGGACTTAATTGGCAAGTTTACCGGGCCGGGTATTCAAAATCAAAATCGCACCTCACACACAAACCTTCCGCCACTCTCTCGGTAGTAGGAGCAAATTTGAAGAAATTATCTTTTTAACTGTTGTACATCATAGAAAGGTCTACATAGGCCTAACTAATGAAATAAGATGTAAAAATGTCCTTATAGACATTCGACAGCTGAAAGTGACACGCTCAGCTCAGTTGCGTAACGTGCATTCACGAAACCAAAATCATTCCTCGCACACACACTCTCGCCACTTTTGGTGGGAAGCTGTCGGGCTGGAAGTTTGCCAGCGAAACCGATGCACCCTCAGAATTTTACCGGGACTCGAAACATTCGTCTTGGGAAGCTGGCGGGGTAGCTTTTTGAAGCGAGGTCGGCTGGTGGCAAAATGAGAGTAACTACGATCGAGAACATCGTAGGTGTTCTTAACTTATTAATAAGATAATTCTAAATTCTATTTGAGATAAAATAATAAACTAGGCCTACAAACAAACCTTGACAGATCTCTAATGACTATTTGAATGCTTGTTTATTTCTCCATTTGACGATTTGTTTTCTTGATCCTGGCCTTCGATTTGTACGTACGTGCGTGCGTCAACAGCATGCACCATATGCATATCATGCGATCGCATAATATGAACGTACGTGCGCTAGCGCATTGCCTATATAATAACAAAGGGCGCATTTTCACGGCACTTGCGCCTTATTAAAGCACTAAATACGAAGCTAGAAGAGAGCTCGTGGGCGGCAAACTGTTCGTGATTCGTGTATTTTTACTGTTCTAATAATTTATGGGCGCATTTTCACGGAAAACACTTGCGCCTTGCCGTCTAGTTTTAGATGATTATGGGCGCAATTGGTGGTTTTATGTGCGCAAATTTAAAATAAAAAGGGCACGTCCAGTTGGAAAAAAAGGCACGTCCAGTTGGAAAAAAAAGGCACGTCTGCCAGTTTGAAAAAAAGGGCACGGCCTTTTTGGCCGTGAATATATCTTTTTTTGGGAGGGCACCGCGGCCAGTCATAGGGGCATCGACGGCCTGGCCGTCGATGGCCGTCGATTAATTTAAGGCCTGATTACATATTTGCACTATAAGCAAGGTTGAATAGTAAGTTACAGTTTAACAGTGTGCTATTTCAATTCCAATATATCTGTATTATATGTTTCAACATCCTCTAACTACATGGCTTATTGAACAAATTTCACTACCATCGAAAAAAAAAGAAGAGGAATGTTGTGGTTTTGGTAATTGCGTCATTGATACTTTGTACTGCATTGTAAAGACAAGAACACATTTTCATGCATCCGCTACAAAGTAACCTGAGGCATTATGTTTTCAGGTTGTCTGTCCGTCCATACGTACGTCCCGTTCTTGTGGTCGCGTCATCTCAAGAACCGATTGATGAATTACCGCCAAACTTGGGTCATATATGTATCTTGCAGAGCCAATGAACAGATTAGATGTTGAGGTCAAAAGTCACAGGCTCATTATGTATGCAAAAATAGCTTGTGAACCCATTATCAATAGGACCGACGAATGGATTACTATCAAACACAGGACAATTAAACTTGAATTTTAAAAATTGCTTCTGTTTTGGTTTGTAAAACCACTCTTTGGCAGGGGGAACATTTTCGGTTGCACGCAGTCAAAGGTCCATCTAGTTTACATAGATGTTAATGCAAAATATATTTGTAGTTCATCCTGATGTATCCATTTTGTTTGTTGTTTCAGTCGAAGAACAGGCGAAGGAAGCTGAAGAAGAAGAAGAGGAAAGCAGCCAAGCGTGCAGAGCAGGAGCAAGCCGCTGAGGAGAACCAACTCAAGAAGGAGGAAGAAGAGAAGAAAGGCAAGAAGAAAGAAGAAAAGGTGGAGGTGGAATACGTTGCAGAGAAGATTGAAGTCATTGACCCAGCATTCAGGCAGTTCCAGAGGATATTCCAAGCATTCCAGGTACATTCCAAGATAGTCCAATAGAATGTTGTAGGATCATATTGAGGGGTCAGTGACATGAAGACGTAACTCCATTTTGGCCATTTTTAGAAAAAGTGGTTTATGTGTCACTGAGCACTTGGGCCTTAAGAAGTTAAGTCTATGTTTCCCTAGCCATTGACTTCAATGGGGTGTTGGTGGAGTTAAGTTTTTTTTATTCTTGGAAAGCCTTCATTTTTCTGAACATTTTGATATCAAATACTCATTTTGGCAAAATATGGAGTTACGTCTTTGTGTCACTGAACCCTCGATATGTAGTTGCTGACCCTACTTACAATAATGTTCAAGACTTCAATCATTTTACTGATCTTAGAAATTATATATCTTTGTTTGCATTCATTTTGGCATTACTATGGTAGCATATTAATGCAAAGTTTAGGTTTAGTGAGCCTCATAAATTTCTTAGATTTGTTCAATATTAGATGATGAAGAGCAACATACATTTCTAAGATACTGAGAAAAATGTTAGGAGCAAATAAGCTTTAAAATGATGTCAGAGGTCCACATTCCTTTGTTGACATCTTCTCTAAGGAATGTAAGGGGTCTTCTTTTTTTCTACACCATACCAATTTCATTTGATCAGCTAGATGAAAAGCCTGTTGGTCTACCTACGACTTTTTGCATATTGGCTTCATCGATAGCGATAGGGTCAATGCTCTCCAGTATTGTATTTTCCACACAGAAGGTACTAATCCATTGTATCACTGACTCTTTGTTTTACCTTGTTTACATTATGTACCTCGAGTAATTTCCACCATTTGATTTATAGAATAACATCTGTCCAATGCATTTTTTTTTCTTTTTATGTGTCTTTCATTTGTCAGCTCTCTGAGCCATTGAAACCAGAAGTCCGAGAGCCAGAGGAGGCAACTAAACTACCCGAGAAGCAGAAAGAGAAGGACTCAGATTCAGACTCTGATGACGATAGTGATATGGTGAGTTTGACACAACCTCTCAAAGTTGTATTTCCCATGCCTGCGTGATGCAATATGTATGTAAAATGTAACCGTCATCATCATCCTTATCATCATTACGTCTTGAAGGCAGTATATGCAATTTCTGTTACAGTCGACTCTTTGATTGTCATTACCTGTTGTACACATGTCATTGCATAAAACATGATGGACCAATCAATGTTTGGTGTGTAAGGAATCCATGTCTAAACATACATGTAGTCAGTCAAGGTATGGCAATGTCCTTTATCTCTCTCGTCCATCTATCTCTGAACTGTAAGTAAGTTATAGAAATAATTCTCTATTAATATATGTCGTGAAAAGAGGTGCCTTCACATTAACCATCCATGGCTTCTATTATTGTAGGAGGAAGATGATGGAAAACCCAGGATTTCTAAGAAGAAGTTGCGTAAGCTGAATCGTCTGAGCGTAGCTGAGCTCAAGCAGCTGGTGACCAGACCAGACGTGGTGGAGATGCATGATGTCACGGCTAGGGATCCCAAACTACTCGTCTACCTCAAGGTGTGTAATCACATATTCCAATGAGATATGTACAATTCTAATAATGCATTTGAGATTTGACCTTGTTGATCTAGTACCCATAATGTTACTTCTGTTAAAGGGGATGTAGCATGACGAGACTATGGTCTCTCCCGTTGCCTGACTCGGGACCAATCAGCAATCACGTGCGTGCAACATACGCGAAACCGAAGCATGAGGAGAACTTCGGTCTGTTTCACGAACGCTGACCATGTAGAGATTTATTCACTGACTACCGTTAATCAAGTCACTACGTTTACATGTAGTTGTCAAAAAGAAGATGTAGATGGCGTTAACCAGTATTTGCCAAGCTAGTAGTAGCTGTTTGTCGCGAAGTGACAGTGACTGCCTTCACTTTCTTGAAGGCTGCTTGCAAAAGTGGGTAAGTACCGGTAGCTCTTGCAAGTTACTAATGGCACTCTCTCAGGAAACTGGTGGTAGTTTCACACCGGCAAGGACAAGCCAGGACGGGTGTGAACCACTAGACCACGGGTGGCCAACCTTTTAAAGCTCGTGGGCCACAGCTAACAATTGGCATAACTTGGCGGGCCATAGCCCTTCTCCCCCCACACACACACACTCACTCATTCAATACGTGAACACACCTGCAATTTTGCACAAACAAACAGGCAAACAACAAAATCAGTGAAAAAAAAATCAAGCTTACTTTTTAGTGTGATTTGACAAATGACTGACGTTTTTTTGTTGTCAAGTATTTGTTTTCTAGCCTCACCCTGTAACTCTCCATAATAGATGCAGCGTGTCATAATATCTTGCTAGGTTGTTAACCTTCACTACATTCACACTCTGGTGACAAATGAGGCAAAGTGGTTTACCTTTCTCTTCTATGAAGAAATACTTCAGAGACCAATCTGATTTAAAGTTTCTGCTTCATCAGAAACTTTCCTTTTCTTCGCAGGTCTCGAAGTCGATGCCATGTTGATCAAGGACACAACAGAAAGAATATCCTAACTTTATTAGTTGTACACTGTACATCCCATTGAACGGGTAGTAAAGGGAAGGGGACTATCCAGTTTACGATTAAGATTCATGAGAAAGTTCCATATTGTCAATCACCCTCAATGCTGTCACGGTGGCATGTTTTTCTGTTAGGGTTAGCTCCTTTAGCCTTAGATTCTAAAGAGAACCTGAACCACAAGGCCGTGGTCTACAACTATGTATGGCAATAACAATTGACATTTATAGAATGAATGAGGTGATTACAATTACTCTTATGTTGCGTTAAGTTAAGAGTACTAATTGAGCACAACCAAATACTACTTTTTAAGTTCTTCATTGATTATAGTGCTGTGATAAAACTGATTATAATAGAAAAACAAAGATTTTTTTTCTTGAAATAAGTGCAAAAATTTTAAGGAAATTGAGGGCAGATCGAAATACCTTATGATATCAAATTAAGTTGATTAATAAATTGAAAAACTGATTATAATATATTATGAATCAATTGATTTGGTTGATCCAGTGCACAACCAAAAAATTACTTTTTTTTTTACGAGGGCTCTTTTCAGATTTTCCCTTAAAAAAATAGCCCCCCTTAATTATTTTGCGGTGGCTATTTTGGAGCTCAGGGGGGCTTCTTTTTTTTTAAAGGTTGTATTTTTTTTAAACGCGGTTTTACCCAATTAAATTCCAAGCAAAGGCAAATATAGATACAATTGTAGCGTACATATGTCATGTAGAGTATTGCAGACATTCTGATACCCATGATTTATTCACTTTGTGTTAAACGTGTGGCTTTATGATTTACATATACATGTAACTAAAACTTGTCAAAAGGAGTGTTTTGTTTAACTGTTCGTTTTTCATATCCTAAGAAAATATTATCACTGACACGCGGGCTAGGAATTAATTTTTTTATGGGGGCTACTTTTCCCCATTGCCTAAAAAAAAAAAAGGGGCTACTTTCTTAAAGCCATATTGTAAGCTGTAACAATAAGTTGTGTTTTTCCTTAGCCATCATACTACTAGCAACCAAATTGGTAGGTAATATGTTATTTAGTCTTTTTTCTGTCCCAAATTTAATTGTTATCATGGACAATGCAATCCCATTAAAAAAAAATGTAGACCAACTCCCTTTAAAATTGTGTTATTTAGACCATTTATAACCATTAAATGTGAGTAAATATTTTTACTGTTGTCCCACATACCGATGTAGGGTCTATTTGTTATGCCGAAACATGCAAAATCATGGCCTTATTTTTTTTTTATAGACTCTAATTCTAAAGGCCAAGCCAAAGCTAGTTTCATTTCGTAGACAGAAATTGATGTCATCATCATCGATCGTATATAAATAATTTAATTTAATTAAACAGTTGTAAGAAATATTCTGAGGAGTAGGAACATCCTTTATATATTTATTTACGGTTTTTTTATAACAAAATTCAATTTCTGTGTACGAAACTTGCTTTATACCGATTTTACAGGAAAAAATCCGGCATTGATTTTGCACGTTTCGTTATTACAAATATATCAGTATGTGGGACAACAGTAAAAATATACTCGCATTTAATGGTTTTAACTTATAAATAACACAATTTTAGACGGAATAACATTTTTTTTAATGGGATTGCATTGTCCATGATAAAAATTAGGGCCAGAAAAAAGACTAAATAAACATATAACGTACCAATTTGGTCGCTAGCAGTTGAGCTCTCGTCACTCGCAATTACTTATTTGCTTCATACAAGGAGCGTGCGGGCGCGCGCTGGAGCTGAGCCAGTACGTTTCTGTGTATTGTGAACGTGTGCGGACTGCGTATGCATTCATGCTGTGCACAAATGCATCGGGGCCGGTGGCCTGTCCGGCCGCCGGGAGCTTAGGCGCAGGCAGGCGGATACCGCTGTAGATCTAGCTACAGTAGGTACGACCGCCGATCCGCTGCAACTCACAAAACTTTTAAAATGTTGATGGAAGTTTCTAGTTTTGGAGTTGGTAGTTGGAACGGAGATTTCACTCAGACACATCAATAAATTGGTTTATTAATTCATAGGGAATATCAATTTATGGCGGGGGCGATTTTTCAAGATATATTGATTTTTTTTCGCCCTCGTCTTGATTTTTACCGTGGCGATTTCAGAGGTTTAGGGGGCGAATCGCCCGTCGCCACCGTGTATTTTTTTCGTTGCCAGTGCAATTGTACAAAATTGGACAGAGATCCTAACAATTACAGAGCTTGGTATTGTTGCTCTGTTCGCCAGCAGTTTGAGGATATTGAATCCTGCTGCAGAGGTAATGAGGTATAAATGGCTTGTCATTATACAGAATTTGCACTGCTCAGCAGATCGTTGATTCAATTCAAGATTCAAGATAATTTATTGTCTGATTTTAAAAATACAGAAATTCGTCCTCCACTGGCAAGTGACATACATATACAAGGAACATAAACAATATATATACATACATTCGATAATAATAATAACATTAATAGCAATAACATAACTGACATGTAAATTTGAAATTGGCATTTAAACTTGAATCTCGACATTGCACAGAATGCATGAAATTGGTGAAATAGAAGTGCTCTGAACATTCACCCCTTCTCTCCCAGAAATGGAGTATGAGGAAAAAACAGAGAAAAGAACAAATGAGAGAGAGAGAGAGGAGTAGAACAGAAAGGGAATGTGAGGGAGAAAGAGAGTAGGTGACAGAAAATGAGAAGCTCTGGGTGGGAAGAGATGAGGTAGAGTACAGGCTACCAAGAACAGTGACTGCCCGTGGTAAAAAAGACAAACGAGTCATTGACATTCAACATTGATAGGCATAAATACAGTAGCTTGTCACTGTATGGATGTGGTGCTGCTCAGTAAATAGTTGTTGGATGTGCATGACACTAGCTTGTCACAATACAGATATCGCCATACAGCAGTTAGTCATTGGACAGTGCAACGCAGTTGCTTGTCACAATACAGATGTTGCTCTGATTAGCAGAATGTTGGACAATGCAATACACTAGCTTGTCACAATACAGAGAGGTTTTTGTACAGAGTTGTTGAACGCTCGTCAATATATAGATCAGCTGCAAAGTTGGTATTCATTGGAAGATGCTATGCACTAGCTTGTCAAAATATGATGATGCTACACGGAATTGTTGGACAACATTGTTTGTCACGATACGGACGTTATGCAAAGATGGTAGTCACTGGACACTGAAATCCACCAGCTTGTCCTTGTCACAATACAAATATTGCTGCAAACAAAGTAATTTGTAGCACTATGCAATACACAGCAACTGGTTATATTACAGATGCATGTACCTACCATGGTGCCCCTCTCTCCATCTGCAACAAAAACTTATAAGCCTTGCCTTAATATATGATTTTTGTATAAATTCCATAAAAAACAAAAGCATAAGTCTTTGTGTCAAATTCTTAATAACAATAAAGCTACTTAATTTGTTTGAGATTTCTTTGGAGATGAAAATTTAGTTTTCTGGACCCCCTCCATTGGGCCTATAAAAAAAAATTGTAATTATCATCTCGCTCAACGGGTACGAGACATGCGACAGTCTTGTAGTAGAGCGGAGTGCTCTTGTCACTTTTGACACTGCCATCATTACTGCATGCACTTCTCCTTCCGGTACTATTGGTACTGCTGCCATTGTAAGTGTCGATTTGATTGTATTCTACGTCTGGGCACTCTTGACAACCCCAGCGGCTACGGACTCTTTTTCTGTGCTGCTTGGTGGCCTCTGCTTTGGCCAGTCTCTCCTCTTGCGGCCACAGAAGGGTGCTCTTCAACACGTAAAACACATACAAAAACACATACAAATATGATTTTTGTATAAACTCCATAAAAAACATAAGTCTTTGTGTCAAATTCTTAATAACACTAAAGCTACTTAGATATTTTGAGATTTCTTTGGAGATGAAAATTTAGTTTTCTGGACCCCCTCCAATGGGCCTATCGAAAAAATCGTCATAATTATCATCTCGCTCAACGGGCACGAAACATGCGACAGTCTTGTAGTAGAGCGGAGTGCTCTTGTCAATTTTGACACTGCCATTATTGCTGCATGCACTTCTCCTTCCGGTACTATTTGTACTGCTGCCATTGTAAGTGCTGATTTGATTGTATTCTACGTCTGGGCACTCTTGGCAACCACAGCGGCTACGGACTCTTTTTCTGTGCTGCTTGGTGGCCTCTGCTTTGGCCAGTCTCTCCTCTTGCGGCCACAGAAGGGTGCTCTTCAACACGTAAAACACATACAAAAACACATACAAATATGATTTTTGTATAAACTCCATAAAAAACATAAGTCTTTGTGTCAAATTCTTAATAACACTAAAGCTACTTAGATATTTTGAGATTTCTTTGGAGATGAAAATTTAGTTTTCTGGACCCCCTCCAATGGGCCTATCGAAAAAAATCGTCATAATTATCATCTCGCTCAACGGGCACGAAACATGCGACAGTCTTGTAGTAGAGCGGAGTGCTCTCGTCAATTTTGACACTGCCATTATTGCTGCATGCACTTCTCCTTCCGGTACTATTTGTACTGCTGCCATTGTAAGTGCTGATTTGATTGTATTCTACGTCTGGGCACTCTTGGCAACCACAGCGGCTACGGACTCTTTTTCTGTGCTGCTTGGTGGCCTCTGCTTTGGCCAGTCTCTCCTCTTGCGGCCACAGAAGGGTGCTCTTCAACACGTAAAACACATACAAAAACACATACAAATATGATTTTTGTATAAACTCCATAAAAAACATAAGTCTTTGTGTCAAATTCTTAATAACACTAAAGCTACTTAGATATTTTGAGATTTCTTTGGAGATGAAAATTTAGTTTTCTGGACCCCCTCCAATGGGCCTATCGAAAAAATCGTCATAATTATCATCTCGCTCAACGGGCACGAAACATGCGACAGTCTTGTAGTAGAGCGGAGTGCTCTTGTCAATTTTGACACTGCCATTATTGCTGCATGCACTTCTCCTTCCGGTACTATTTGTACTGCTGCCATTGTAAGTGCTGATTTGATTGTATTCTACGTCTGGGCACTCTTGGCAACCACAGCGGCTACGGACTCTTTCTCTGTGCTCTCCAATGGGCCTATTGAAAAAAATCGTTGTAATTATCATCACGCTCAACGAGCACGAGACATGCGACAGTCTTGTAGTAGAGCAGAGTGCTCTTGTTACTTTTGACACTGCCATCATTGCTGCATGCACTACCCTGTCTGGTGCTGTTTGTACTGCTGCCATTGTAAGTGCTGATTTGATTGTATTCTGCATCTGGGCACTCTTGGCAACCACAGCGGCTACAGACTCTTTCTCTGTGTGCTTGGTGGCCTCTGCTTTGGCTAGTCTCTTCTCTTGTGGTCCACAGGTGGGTGCCCTTCAACCTCTCAGCCTTACGGGCAATTTTCTCTGCAGCCTCCTTCTTCTTCAGCTCATCAGCAGCGGCGACAAACTCCGCAGCCTTCTGCTGTTTCTCATCCTTCTCCCTCTTCTTTTGGAGCAGTAATTTTTTCATCTCCTGTTTCTTGAGGGCAGCCTTATTCTGCTTCTCCTTGATTTTTTCGACAAATTTCTATTCCTGCCCTACGATGGCAGGCTTGTTTCCAAGCCTCTCAAGTTGACGAGGCGGTTTTGGAACACGGAAGCCCTTGGCTGTCTTCAGGCGCATTCGCACATTGTTGACTTGTATATTGAAGGCAACGCCGTTCGGTCTGACCTTCCCGCCGATCACGTCGGCGACCAAACCGGTGTCCCGGAACTCCTGGATTATCTCGTTATTGGTCTTGGTGTCCTGAGAGCCGCTGCGCTCGTTAGGCTTAGGCAGCTCGGTGATTGGCACTGTCAGTTTGGGTACTAGAGCTGCAGTTGGCCAAGCTATACTCCCTTTAAAGGGATTGGGTAACTTTGTCTGCACTCGTTAGGCTTAGGCAGCTCGGTGATTGACACTGTCAGTTTGGCTACTGGAGCTGCAGTTGGCCAAGCTACACTCCCTTTAAAGGGATTGGGTAACTTTGTCTGCACTCGTTAGGCTTAGGCAGCTCGGTGATTGACACTGTCAGTTTGGCTACTGGAGCTGCAGTTGCCCAAGCTACACTCCCTTTAAAGGGATCGGGTAACTTTGTCTCAGATTCTGAAACAAAATCCTGGATTTAGCTCATGCTGCAATGACAATTATAAACCTTTAGGTCAGTCAGGGACCCCATGACTTTTACAAGCCAATCGCCTGTTTGCATTATCAAGATATTTATGATTGAACATTGTAATCAAATTTTGCGTTTCCCTAACTGTTTTCATAATTCATTGAAGAAAATGAGTATGGTAAAACCGGTCACTCAAAGATTTTTACTTTTTTGAGGCACTTTGTGATCATCTTGAAGCCCGATTTTTTACACATTACATGACATTACATGACATAACACCATATCACAGACATTATTAACACGTAGGGCCATGAATCTCAGATTTAACATTGTTGAACAATGCCTTTTTTTACCATTTGTTATCTGATGGCTCCTACAGGCATACAGGAACACGGTTGGTGTACCAAGGCATTGGTGTTTCAAGCGCAAGTACCTGCAGGGTAAAAGAGGTATCATCAAGCCACCGTTTGAGCTGCCAGAGTTCATCCAGAGAACAGGCATCATGGAGATGAGGCAGGCCCTGCAAGAAAAGGTACGTGATTGGTGTCAGCCTTGTATATTTAGATGGAAATGAGATGAGCCTTACAAAATGTCCTTTTTTTTAAATTAGGTTGAAATGGAAATATGTGCATAGTTGTCAGAACACAACATATTGGATGCTGAATATATAGCAGATAGGAGTGAGATAATAAGCAACCAGGGGGGTGTTTCATAAAGCTGTGCGTCAAGCTTCGAATGACTTTACAAATTATTTTAATATGAAGAGCCAAATGGGATGCCCGAGTTTTTACTGACATTTTAACAAAGTGTGACTGTATATCCCATAATCTCAATTAAATTGTAGCAGAAAATACACTTTGCATTAAAATGTTTTGTTTATAATGATAAATTAAAAGGATTTGAGAATTCCATTTAGCTCTTCATATTCAAGTCATTCGTAAAGTCATGCATAACTTTACGCACAGCTTTATGAAACACCCCCTGGATTCAAAGGAAATGAAGTATGCTTCATGTGAAACTTACTCAAAATGTTGATATAGCCGAAATAGCCGCTTTTATAATAATCTATTTAGATGGTTAGAAGCTCTTGCTTTTTCAAATGTGAAACCCAGTCTTTCCATCTACGAAAGAAATTATTGGGGGAGGGGGGCTATAAGCGTGAAGATGAATATGAAAGCTAAAGTTTCTTCATGTTTCTTGAATGCAGGAAGAGCAGCAGACAATGAAGACAAAGATGCGACAGAAAGTCCGACCCAAGATGGGCAAGATTGACATTGATTACCAGAAACTCCACGATGCCTTCTTTAGGTAATACTCCCATTAGTTCTCAAGAATCAAGTTTTGTATATGTCGTTGGCAATTGTGATAAAAATAAGTGATTTTGTTAACCTTTTACATCAGTTATCCTTTATTATTATGATTACTATGATTTAAACCAAAACAAAAATTCATAATGAAAGGTTGAGTCTAGTGTGCGATATTCTCTTACTCTCTCACTCTCTCTCTCTCTCTCTCTCTCTTTTCAATTTCGGTAAAAGGTTGTTTTTCAGAAATCCTTCTGCATTCTTACCTTTAAGGTACATTCTTTTCCAAAAATGTTGTATATATTGCAAAAGAATACTGTGTGTGTCAAAAGCATTATTAATTGTTCTATTTTTGATTGACAGATGGCAGACAAAGCCCAAGCTGACCATACACGGTGACCTGTACTACGAAGGGAAAGAGTTTGAAACCAAACTGAAGGAGAAGAAACCGGGAGAACTGAGTGAGGAGCTGAGGACAGCTCTCGGCATGCCTACAGGAGGTGTAAGTAAAGGCTTTGTAGACCGATAGGATAGCACACGTCCTTATGTGCAAGAAAAAGTACAGAGATTTAGTTTGCTCTACACAGAGGTATTCTGAAGTGATAACACAAGCATCATACATTGTAGTATATGTTATAGATTTACTCTGAGTTTTGTAATTATGTATCACCATACACAGTTGTGTTGTACACAATCAAAATTGCAACAGATTTTCAGAATTGTGCTGGAAATTGCCTTAGGATGTTCAGTGAAACATCTTTTGAAGAAAAAGAAAAGGAAATGTTATTTCTTCACAGGTTGTTTTTGATGGACTTGTTTTTTGCTTGAATTTTTCACTCATCCTCTACCATAGCTGATTGTGATTCCAAGATGAGTGGTGAGCACTCACATGTAACTATAGACCAGAAGAAGTAATGCATTTTGTTTTTTATATAGAGCAAGTTGATGTAGAAATAATCATTCAAGTCGTACTAGTTAAAGTTTGAATTAATTTTTAACATGGCAAGGGGAAATGACTTGGGGATAATTGCTGAGGGAAGTCACTAAATGTGTCGGGTTTATTTTATGATCAGAATTTGGGAATGAAATATGAATGGAAGGGGGAGAGAGAGGGGAAAGAGAAGAGAGAGAAAGAGAGAGAGAGAGAGAAAGAGAGAGAGAGAACATTCCAGTTTGAAGCATATTAATCTATTTACAAAATTTGAATCTTGAATCCCACAGAATGCTAACAACTACCCCCCGCCCTGGTTGATTGCCATGCAGAGGTACGGACCCCCACCCTCGTACCCACATCTCAAGATCCAGGGACTCAATGCACCCATCCCAGAGGTGAGCAAATTGGTTTCTAGCTTTTGGCAGCGGTGATGATTAAATACGAGTATGATGTTGAAATCATCTAGATAAGCAGCATATTACAACATTTTAAATTATTTGTGTGAATAAAAGTCTGAAAGTGGAGATGTTTCCTCTATATGCATATGAAGGACTTTATTGTTTGTAGTCCATTTATCATATTTACATGTTTGATTATTCAATTACAGAAATTAAACCTTTCTATGTGACTGCAGTCCTACGTGAACATTCTAGATAGTTCTAAATTGACAATGCAAATAACATTTCTTGTCCCCAACATTCTCTTTGAATTTTCATGTTCTACATTCTTATACTTCATTATCACCTCATATTACCCTGTTTTGATGTAAATTGTGCCTTATTTTGTATTCATGTTGGTAACGATTGTTTTAATCTGGACAGAGTTGTTCCTTTGGTTACCATGCCGGAGGATGGGGGAAGCCCCCTGTGGATCAGACTGGCAAGCCTCTCTATGGAAACGTCTTTGGCACAGATGCTGCTGACCTCAAGGTACATTGTTTATTTTCCTTTTTTTCTTCACATTTAATCAGACAAAGTCATGGATTTTCACTGTGATCCTTATGCTACCAATCAGAACACACTGTAGTCTTTAGAATCTATAACTTCAGCTGTTTTAGTTATTTTCCAGGGTATAGACTTAATTGTTTCACTGAGACTAAATAAAGATGTTATTTCATTCATTGGAGGGAGTCTTGTTTCAATTTCCTCTAGAAAATATATTTTTTAGCTTGAGTAACACACTAAGAAAGTTTGCTTATCCTGCAATTTTAGTTGAATTTACTGCTTGTCTGGCTTCTTGCAAATGTTCGACAAATAGGGAAGTACTTGTTGCTAAGTTTTGCTGTCATATCAGAATCTCCTTCAGACTTTCCTGTTTAATTATGTATTCTCTTCTTGCTTCCTTTAGGCTGAGGAGGAGGAAGAGATTGATACGACAAGATGGGGTGAACTTGAGAGTGAGTCAGAAGAGTCATCATCAGAGGAGGAGAGTGAAGAGGAGAGAGAAGGAGGAGAGATAGACGAGAGTGGTCTTATCACTCCAGCTGACGGGTAAGTCACTAGATATGTAAAATGAGAGAGAGAGAGATGATGAGTTGTGTTATTGGGAGATAAGATATGGGATACAGAGAAAGGATACATATTGCTGGTAGAGAGGATAGAGATAGAGATAAAAGAGGAAGGGTTAGCTGAGAGTTGCTTTGTAAAATTGAAATGATAAAGTGCTTTTCATGGTTGAAAATTCATGATAGTTATGAGGGAAAGAGAAAGGAGGAAGGCAAATATAGGTAGCAGAAAATAAAGATTTGAGTTGGTATTTTTAAAAGAGACGAAAATATTTCATTTGCAATGTATGAATTGAGGTATATATGTCATTGATCATGAAGATGTTGTATCAAGTCTGTCATTTGAATAAAGTAAAGTTTAAAATGAAACATATTCATCCACAATCATAACGTCATCAGCTCTTTAACCCCGTACCTTTTGTCCTTTCCTTTCCTCATGGCAGTGGGTTGATCACTCCCAGCGGCCTCACCTCCATTCCCACTGGCATGGAGACTCCGGACATGATTGAGCTGCGTAAGAAGAAGATAGAGGATGCCATGGAACAGGGTACGGAGACTCCGCAGCTCTACACCGTCATCCCGGAGAAGAAGACTAATGTAGGAGCCGCCATGGTGGGATCCACTCATGTCTATGATCTACCTCCAGTAAGTGGTCCTTTCAAATTTTTAAGCATGTGTAACAGGAACTCAGTGTGCAGAAGGGGTTGGTATAACTGTGACTGGGTAGGGAACTGGAATTGTAGGGGTGGATGGTTTAAATGCTACATTCAAGTGCATATCTGTAGACCTATGTCATATTGGTCCTGTTAGTCCCATTGGACCTTAACCCTATTTTAACTGGGCTATTTCAGACCAGGTTTTTACTGGGGGGGGGGGGGTCAATTTGACCCCCCCCCCCCTAAGATCTCGGCCGTTTCACCGCCGATCGCCGCGAAAATTTGCATGCATGTCAAGTGAAGTGTATAGAATACTATGGTAATTTCAAATTTTTAAAAAATTCACTCATTTGCATATTTATGGTAATTTATGCAAACAATGTCATCAAATTCACATTTCTGCCCATAAATCATAGATTATTCATGTTTACATATTCTTTTTCACTACATATATTTATTAGACCATTTGGAATAATAATACAACACAAAAAATTGGAAGAGCCAGGTTATTCCTTATGTTATCTCTTGTTTTTATAATTTCTTATGTATTTCATTGTTTTTTTAACTTATGTATTTTATTGTTTTTGTTGTTTTATTTCATTTATAACTACAATTCAACTATTTTGACCTCAAAACAAACATCTAAACTTTAAACAAGACTGAATAACCAATGTTTTATCTATTATTTCATTTATAACTACAATTCAACTATTTTGACCTCAAAACAAACATCTAAACTTTAAACAAGACTGAATAACCAATGTTTTATCTATTTTTAGGAAAAATGACTTTTACATATGTTTTGTACACAAATCACGAAAATGAGCGATTTTCGGGCTGACATGCACAGACAAAAGGTCACGTGAACTTGTAACCCTACGTCCGATTTTCAAAAAAATCGTTTTAAAAGATGCGTAAGACTCGAAAGTAAAAAGTCATGAAAGGAAAATTTTATATCTGCCGCGGTTTCGGAGTAGTCGTGAAATTTCTACAGGGGGGGGTCAAATTGAACCCCCCCCCCCCCCCAGTTAACATAGGGTTAAGGATGCTTTTAATGTAGTCCTGTTGGTCGTAAGTCTAATAGGTATAGGTTTCAAGGGACTTATTAGTCATAAGACTTGTAAGGTAGGAAAAGAAACATTAGATGAGATTCAGGTATTATGGGCAACCTCTGAAAGGATCCGATTCCAGATTCCCTAGCTGAATGTTACTCCAGATAAACCATGTTTTAAAAGGTTGAAATGATTCAGTGCCATGGCACAATGAAATGATTATTACTGATAGAAAGCTTGCAGTCAAATCCAGAAATTTGACCAAGCTCCATGGGCAGTATATTGTCACATACAGAGGCAAAAAGTAATGAACCATCAATGAAATATAGATGAATAATTTTTAGATTCGGGTCCGCACATGTCGTAATATGTATTGCATTTCTTCTTACTAGGTTGGTGCTAAGAAGCTAGCAGGAGCAACAGCGAGCGAAGGAGTAGCCATTGCCTTAGATCCAAGTGAATTGGATATGGATACAGAAGCTATGACAGCCAAGTGAGTAAAAGCCTCTATTTAATGTCTTCTTCTCCTTTTTGTGCTGTGAAAAAGATTTTCTACTAATTTCTTTGGAATAGAAGTATGTCATGTTGCCACATCATTTTTAGTGCATCTTTTGGAGTTTGAGATGTTCAGAAATTGAACATGTTCTTCGAAGATGTGTTTTGCGTTATTTTATGAATGCAAGGTGTACCTTTCAATGTTATATTATATTTATTGATGTGATCAAGCAAGGTGATAAAAAGGAGTTTCCTACAGGAAGTTTATGAATTGTTTGCGAAGTGAACAGAGATGGCTGTGTTATAGACTTGTCATCAATATTTGATATCTAGCTGGGGAGATCCACAAATTCTTATGTCTTCTCAATAAACATCGTGAATTTCTATTTCATTTCTTTCCCTATCAGGTATGAGGAGCAAGTAAGAGAACAGCAGAGCCAACTGGAAAAGGAAGACTTCAGTGACATGGTGGCTGAACATGCAGCTAAACAGAAGGTGAGAAAGAAACATCAAGTATTATTGCTGAAAAATCAAAAGATTTGGATTAACCCCTGACACATTTCTTGAGAATATGACAAGAAATGAGTAGAATATAATAAAAATGAGTGCATCGTAATCTACAGTATTTTTAGTTCTCATGCATTTTGTCCAAGAATGAATGGAATTAAATTTAGGTGATACTCTTCCATTATCCTGCTGAGATATTTCAATGATAAGAGGTCTTGTCTTTTTAATCGCATTTTGATACCATTTACCATCTCAGTGCATATTATTACAGTTTGTAGTTTCTTCAAGATTTGACATGACTTTGATGTAACATATTGTATATTTTATATCTTTCTTTCTTCTTTTCTTTTTCTTGTACAGAACAAGCGTAAGAAACAGACCCAGGACAGTGGAAGGGCAGCCAAGAAATACAAGGAGTTCAAGTTCTGATTCATGCTCGTCCAGATATGTCATATGTATATTTTAGGCTATCTGAAGCAAACATTACTTATTTTTAGAGTGTCATTTTGTTAATACATGGATAATATCCATAGGGTAAAAAAGTTGAAAATGAAAGTACAGTACTGTCCTTCAGCCAATAAATTTTGAATAGTCAAGATCTGTCGACATTAACATGTATGATGATTAAAACATTTGAATATTGTCATCCTTCTCTTAAAGGGGAAAATCAAGGGAAAAGGCTACATATTTCAAGAGATTATTTGTGCATCAATTCCCCAATTCAAACCATGTTTTGTTACCATGTTTTGTTACCAAGTGTTATATTAAATTTGTTTACTTTATTATTGATAAATTACGTCATGAAACCTGCATTGCCAAAAGCTCTGTAATTCTCCTGTATGTGAAGAATTGGACAAATGCCCTTGTGTTCCTCACCAATTTTTTGTTTGCTTTTGTTTCACCCTTTAGGAGGTAGGGGGTGCATGATTTACACACAACTTTGAATTTATATGATCATGTGAAAGTTTACCCGATATGTTTGTTTGTATAGTAATCTAGCATCAGGCCAAGATTTGGAAATTAATTTTTGATTAACTTGAAATATGCTTTAAATTCTTAAATCTGACGATAGTAGCCATGCTTTCTTGTGACATATTCAAATACATAAAAAGAAGATATCTTGATAATGAATATATTCAGCTTTGGCCTGTACAGATTATGTATCGAGGATTTTACAAATGACAACTTGTAAACAGATATACCATACTCACAAATGGCACTATACAAGTGATGCATGAGTTTATATTTAACAATTTATTTCTCTTTAATATGTACATAAAAATTAAAAAAACATGATATGAATTAATGTCCAGCGTCCATTCTGCACCTACCCAAGAACTTCTGTAGTTTGTATAAAGGACTTGACACACCATATCAATGACAATTAAATGCTTCAACTTGTGTTTCTTTCAATAAAGATTTGTCATTTCACCACCATTCATATGCATGAGGTAGTTCCTTGTATTGACATTCATTCAAATGTAACCCTTAACAAACAATAATATATTTTCATAGAAATGCACATTAAAACATTTGCTTCAAAATGTATCTTTTTTGTGTGTGTGCAATCAGGACACTCAGACCAATCTGACTGTGCTAACAAGATACAACCTTTAAAGACATAATGAAAACAGTCCACTGTGTTTTAAAGTGTTATGGTGAAAACTTGAAAATACACTTCTTATGATACATACTTTCACTATGAAAGTTCAGGAGTATTTGACTAATTTTACAAAATCACAGAAACCTTCCGAATAATCAAGATAATTGTCTTCTTAGTGTGTAAAACCAGCCTCACTTCTTGATTATTGAGAAAAGGTTCACCATGAGATACTGTTAACATTGGTAAACCCACAAGATCAATAAATACTTGTACAAATTGTGCCAGCTATCTAGTTGGACTAGTGTAGAGTGCAGTTGTTACATTATCCCTGCCTTCTACTCGGTGGCCATGACGAGAAGCTCAAGGAATTTTTCTCCACCAACCAAGTGGCACCAATTAACTATTTACATCACAAGGATCAAATCTGGCATTATTAAATCTATTTCTTAAAATAATAATTCGGTGTCGTTGTAGAGCGCGAGAGGGTGGGCCAGATCTCTTACCACCCTCTCCCTTCTCAATGCTCTCTGCACAAGAATCCCGATATGGGCAGCCATATTGAAGACTGCCACAAATCTCTTAACATTTAATTCTGCATTCTAGTGACATAATGGCTGCATAGAATACACAAGGGTCAGAACATTGCGTTTATCCCCCCCCCCCCCAAAAAAAAAAAAAAAAAATCCACCTAAATCAAATGTTTCAGGCCAATACCTTTTATTCAATATATCAGACAACCTACACATGTATATTGAAATAACTCCCATGGGTAAGTTGTCCAGGGGTGATAGTGAGCACTAAAACAAAAATAGGTTTTTTATTTTCCCCTCAACCACGCCCCCCTTGAGTAAAAAAAAAAAAGAAGAGGATTTTGTACTTTGCAAGATGCCATGGCGGCCATTTTCATTCACACACCTTGACAAATGAAATGGACAGGGAGAATGTTTATTTTCTCTTTACCATGTGATTACCACTTTGCCTGAGAAACTTTCCAATATATCTGCTAAGGCATTTTTTTTTTCAGAAAGATTTAGGGCAGGCTTAGACATCTAACAACTGAGTTCCCTAAACGCCCCGGGCTTAGCAGAGGAATTACCCAGTTCCCATTGGCAGTGGGGTTAAAAATATTGCACTGTTAAACAAAGATGGATAGAATGGTTTGTATTTGTATCATCTGGCACTGGATGGATTACTCTTTCTAGCTGATTTAACATCTGACTTCCAGGCTGGTAATTCTTCTTCAATCATGGCCCAGTATTTCTCCTGATAAAAGGAACAACGAAAATACAACATATGAATACTATTAAGACTTGCAGACACATTTTGTTGACTTTTACGAGATTGATGGTTCACCGGACCAGCATTTACAGGTATTAATGAGGGACTGAATACTGGTACATAACTCATATGAAAATAACATGTAGTGTTCTTTTTTTTATATCTACTAAAATTTAAATATTCCACTTTTTGTTTTAATTGTTATTTCAATTCATTTTCCTTTCTTTTTTTTCCCTTTTTTCCACTTTTTATTTATTTTTTGTAGGGGGTCCAGGCTATTTTATACCATGACAAACATGATGTAAATTTACCTATGCCCCTGACCCCCCCCCCCCCCAATCCTGTATCCAACACTTTAAAATGTAATAAGATACAGGTGTACTTCTTTTAAACAGAATGACCAAACTGGTGACATAAAATGTAATTTTCATATACAGTTCTAATAAAACATGAGCATACATTTACCTTTAATGTAACAAGTTCAGTAGGCTGTGGTCTCCCCAAGCTTTTCTTGATACTCTCTTTACATGTGTCTATATCCTGGAGGAAATATTAAAATGGTACAGTATGTAAATCATGAGATATATTGCTAGAAATAATAAACAGGTTTCGATTATGATATTACAAAGACAAAATGATTATGCATTCATGATATTAATCTTTTCTTCTTTTTTTAAACTCCTAAAGCAAAATTATAAATTACTAAATTTACAAGTAGAAAATACATGTACATGTATGACAAAATTAAAAGCAGGAACTTTCTACATAATCTATGTCAAATGTTTTTGTTTTTCCATTAATTTTTGTTTGTTATTTTTCGTTTGATTTTGTTAATTGTGTGTGTGCTTTACCTGAATTAGTTTTTTGTTCCTTTTGAGTGCTCTGTTCCTGAAGCTTGCAGCTGAAGACTGGAATACTTCTTGATTGTTTAAATTTTCTGTAGATTTTTGCAATAGAAATTCCCTTCTGGACACTCTGAGAAATAAAAGAAACAAAGTAATTATCAAACAACAGTTTGGAGATGTTTATGATTGACAGCCCCCCCCCCCCCCAAAAAAAAAAAAAAATATATATAAAAAAAATGAATAAAATATTAAAAAATGGGGGAAAGTGCCTCTCTCTGCATCACCCCACAATCACCAATTCCTGTTGAGTTTAGAATTAACTAAATGATTTCCCTAAATTAAATGGAAAAGACATTTATCATGTATAGACAACGTGAAAACTGTCAAAATAACATTGCCCATTTGTACACACAAAAAGAGTAAAGGAAAAAATTTGCAGTTACCCTAGGGCACTCATAGGAGCATCACTATCCTGGCTGTGTAGTAAAAGCTGTGCTTTTGATTCGCATCATTTCAAACACCACTTTACAAAACTCAACTGATTTCACTAAAAATCGGTACTTTAGTGACACTTGATGACACCTCAAACCTAAATAGCAGTAAAATACATTTTTTTCAACTTACAGATGTTAAAAAGAATAATTTAAAAATTCAGATTGTAAGATTGTACTGTCAAACTTTGCTTACAGACGCATCGGCATGATTGTATGCAGTCTATGCAATATTGTGTGGTGTGTGTATTTGTGTATAGGTCTAATAATACCTGCCTCACAGCAAGCATGCAGTGCTAGAGGTCAATACGCATTAGCATTGACTCTCTATGCTTTGCTGGAGTGCCCTAGGGCCTAGGCGCTGATGCACTTTATCTTTAGCACCAGGCATTTTTCATTCAGTCACACACAAGTTATAACTATAATGAATAGACTGTATAGAGTCTATGGAGTGGAAATGGGAAAACCAAATAGCCAATACGTTTGATGGAACGAAGCACACTCAATTCCGGTGTGAAAATACACTAGCCCCATTATCCTATCCCTACTTTCACAAAAATACAACTACAGACAAAGTTCAATTTTGAATGAATACCGGTAGTCAACTTGAGAGTTGACAGAATGTCAGATTCTCATGTTTCAATTCTATTTCAAACATGAGTAGGGTCTAGATCTATATTATCTAGATTCTATTGTAAATTGATGACATTTCACTTAAATGTTATAATGTAAAAGAGGATGTTATTTATTTATTTATTTATTTATTTTGTTTTATTTACACACAATTCTGCAAGGATTTTCAAAATAAATGTGTTTGGAGCAGAATATTGATGAAAGAATACTCACAATTCTACATGGATTTTCAAAATAGATGTGTTTGGAGCAGAATATTGATGAAAGAATACTCACAAAATTTAGGTTTTGTGTTCAAGTTAAAGTTCAAGTTCAAATAAGGTTTTATTCATTACTTGTCAACAAGTCCGAAGACTAAAAATGCAAGTTTACATCAATATAAAAAGCATTCAAATACATAAAGATAACATAGCAAATGAGGACAAATATATAACAATGAATACATTTTTAAATCAAAACATTAAAGTAGTAGGTCTAAGAAGAAAACAAAACAACAAAAAAAGATTTTTTTTTTAAATACAAGATATGAAATATTGCTAGCAAAAATGATTAAATGTTTACATATGGGCCTAAACAAACAAAATGTATACAGATACGTGATTTCAATTAACTTTAACATTGGAAAAATTGTAATAAAATTGTTACGTGTTTGTACGTGGAAAACGTAATTCCTGAATATTTTTCATCTAATTTTCGTCTTCAAAAGTTCAATCAAACAAACAATCTTATTCATTGAAGTAAAATTTTTCCACCAAATTTGTGGAGCTCCCAACACTTTAAAACTAAAGACTTTAGAGAGCTGAGAGGCTTAAATTTGAGAGTGAGAGGCTAATGAGGCTAATAGTAATACTGTAATACCACCTAGGCCAGGCCAGGGCTAGCCTAGGGAAGGGGCATGCAAGGCCAGGCTTGGCTGCGCTTGGTCGCGGGCCTGTCGAGGGCGGGCCTGTCGAGCGCGAGGCGCGTACGACTACGGGCTTATTAGCTGTGGGTGTGGCGACGTACGGACTCAAGCCAGAAACTTACATGTCTTCATGTTTCATGTTCAGTTCAATCTCCCTTTCCAGCAATTGTGTTTCCATTCTAAAAATGATACTGATGTAAGGCTTGGAAAACACGTACACAGTCCCAGCACAATCAAGGTCACAGACAACTGAAAAAGCACAAATGCGTAGATGAAGAACGGATTTTTTTTTTTACATGGGCGCCGCCATATTGATTATAGCGTCGTCTAGTTACAGGCCATCTGAGTTTAATTAGAAATTTACAAATATAAAAATTGATATAAAGCCATTTTATTTTATATGATCCTTTAAAATTATACATATACATATTTTGAATTAAAAAAGAGAGACAAAATGAATAACAAGATTTAATATTATCAAATATTATGTCTTACAAATTGCTAAATTGGCCATATGAAGATTGTCCAATCAACGAAAGGGAGCGCAAAAACATCAACCTTCAAATTTTGTAAACAATCGACCATCTCTAAGAAATAAACAACAACTTTACGATGGGAGTTCCTACTGAGAATTCACAAGTAAGTAGTAATTTATAAGAATTCGGTGAAAAAGTGAGAATGCAAATAAGAACAGATGAAAAATATCACACTTAATGTTATTTTAGAGCGCTTAGTCTTAGAGACTTCTGACAAAGTAAGTCTTAGGCGCTGTAATTATTATTATTATTAAGTAGGGTCTAAATTGCTTCAAAGGGCCAGTGCGGAGAGAAGCCACCGCGCTCATTCGCTGGCTTCTTCTAATTCTTCCTCCGCTCTATCGGAGATCAGCAGCTACCAGGGTACTGCAGTTTGTCATAACAAGTAGGTTCATGGTCTAGCAGGCAGGATTGTCAGATCATACTGCACCGACTGGCATATATTTATGGTGTAGATCTAGGTCTAGTCTCGATCTGCCGAAGACGAAGTCTGGACATAGATATCTCTCACGTTTGCCGTTGGATTTTCCTTAAACTTTTAAAGGGCAATCCAACCCTTTTGATGCATGGCGAAAGTTTGAATTACTAGATCTAGAATCTAGATAAATTACTGAATCAGCTACTGAGCTACAGTAGATCTACAGAGTACAGAGCTATAGACTAGTCTAGATTTAGACTATTATTTAAAACGGTTCAGTGTGACGTGTGTGCAATACAATCGAATGATGAGATAGATTGTAAGAGTTAAAATTAGATCTAGACTCATTCCATTCTTGTATTTGTTAGAATTACTATTTGTTTCTCTAGACCTAGTCTATATTCATTTCACTGTTTTCACATCATTTGTTTTCACCTAGCTACCTACAATTCCTTCCTCCATATATCTCCTCTAACTCTATATACCAAGTCTGAAGTCTGAAGTCTGCGTTGTGTGTTAACGTGCCCCTTCCCTTGTTCATAGACGCAGGTTATGTCAAGTGGAAAACACTCCGTCCCTTGGATAGGACGTTAAATGGAGGCCCCGTGAACAGGAGAGTCACCATCCTTGCATGTTAAGAACCCATTGCACTATTCGTATAAGAGAAGGGGGAAACCCCGGTGTAATGGTCCACCTGCACATCCCAATCAGGCCGAGTATACGGCATCTGCATTCTGCAAGAATCTTCAGTATTGAAGGAGGCAGATTATCTTGAAGAAGAAGAAGAAGCCTTCCATGTCACTTTGCCTAAAAATGTTCAGGATGAGCAGAGGAAGGGTACAAGAGAGAGAGAGAGAGATGCTGCATAGCAGCCTACAATAAAAGACAGACAGACCTGCACTCAAGTTACACTGGACATCATCTGAGTCAATTGATTTAGGGCTCTGCAACTTTTATGTTGGAGACTTAGGAAAGAGGATTTATTTTAGATTGGCAGTGGTTTGTGGGTGATTAATGGTTTTTGGTGAGAGGTTATTTTTATTAAACACGATCAACATATCAATGACTAAATCTATTCAAATTGGCAATTTGGTCACTTAATGTTTTCACTGACAACTCTCCCATTTGTTGTGTATAATATAAGTTGTTCTCCTTAGCACCTGAATTCTAACTTGGGGCATTAATTAAATTGACATTTTTCAGTCAATTTGTGACTTTGTGTGTTGAAACAGATGGGAAAATTTTTTTCACTCACTGTGATGCTGCTGATTTAGCAAATAAGAAGTCCCCATACTATCCATACATATTGTAATAAGCTTACAAGTACAAGTTTCAGAAATTAATTTTTAAAAATTCAGATTTCATTCAAAATTTCACTTGTCTGTTTCTCTGATATTTCTGCTTTATTTTAGGTTGGATTTCCCTTATGAAAAATGCAGTTACCTTATCTTCCATATATGCTGAAGCTGATTACTGTTATTGAGTATGGTATTAGTAAATGTTTAATGCGAGACCCTGGCCAGTCCAGTATCACCATTGATTGGTTTTTAACAAATATTTTGGAGTTGTATAGTCTGATAGTCCTTTCCGTTTAGTTATGATTTTTGCCACTTTGATGTAGATCTAGACCTACTTTAATCTTTCTTTCTTTTCGTTAGGCCAAAAGAGATACTACAGCAGTGAGAGATGATGCAGCTTGTAGCAGTGGATTTGATTCATCAGATGATGATCAAGAGCCAGTTGATAAATCACCATTCCAGATTGATTGGTAAGAGACTCTAGGAGCACATCCTTATGACTAAATGGACTTCTAGGAGATGAATTAGATCCAAAGATCTTTCATTTCACAATCACACGCATGTTGATTGCTTAACAGGGATCTTCCTCAAAATCAGAAAGCAAATTGATAGCTTCCTGTCTTCATATCCTGATTTATATTTACATTTACATTATAGAGAGAAACAAGATTCTCAAAAATTTAATTAAAAAATTGTATATTTAGATTTTAAATAGCCTATTAGCTATTTTTTAATACAATGGATTCTCATTATTAAGTGCACTGTATTCTGTAACTTTTATAACTTTACCAGGTCACAATTTTTTCATTTTTTAAATATTTATTTTAGCTCCAATATAAGTTACAACGTATTTGTTTCATTATAACAAGGTAATTTCTCGGTTCCAAAGAATTTTTTGTGACAAAATTCCATTTTATATAAGACAGTACTGTTTTTTAAAAAAAGGTTAGATTCCCTTTATTTATCTATTTTCTCTCTTTCTCTCTCTCTCTCTCTCTCTCTCTCTCTCTTTCTAGGTTGGATTTATCTGAATATGGAATTGCTGAGAAACTTGGCATCAGTGGTCTACCAGGTATGGTTTTAAAGAGAAAGTTGAGTTCTGGGAAGAGGTGAAAAATAATTTGTGAGCATTACTCATTCTTATTATGCAAGTGTGGAAGAACATCAGTTCAGACATGTTCCCTGAAAAGCATGGCTCTTCAAATGCCTTCATATTCTAAATATGCATGTAACATCGTAAAAATCGGGGGGGGGGGGGGGGGCGGCTTTTTACGCCACGTGTTCGTGTAGTCCCATATACATCTTTCTGTGCAAGTGTTTGTAACTTTACCAAGACTTGGCCAAATTTCTTATCATTTTGATGATTCCAGAACCTTGCAATACACACAAATTCTTATATGCTAGATGATCAACCTTTTCTGGTCGGTTCCACACCGATTCTTTCACAATGCAATCGCATGACCAAAACTCAACTTCATCTTTAATGATTTCAAAATGAAAAGTTATGTTAAAAGTGCTCGTACTGTACATCCTGTTCCTGGTGTTTTATAATTGATATATTAGCTGAAAGGCTGAACCTAATTTGTTCATGTTTGTAGAACATTTATTATTAAAGTTATTGATTTAAGGAATAAATGTTCATTTCTTTCTTCAACCAAAATTACATACCGTACATGTATATTAATGCAAATTGAAAGTTGTTTAGTCTTTAGACCTCAAAGTCAATTGTGATACTTGGAGCATTAATGATCTATCTAATTTTGCAGGCTGCAGATTTGATGATACTTGGAGGAGTATGGAGAGTGATATCAGTAAGTCATGACTTGTTGCTTATAATTCACTTCCAATTAAAGATGACATATAAGTGTCCCCCTCCCCGAATTTTATTGGGGGGGGGGGGGGCTGTTATGTTGATAAATATGTGGGGATAGAAAAAGGTGTGACTTCAATCAAATAAATGTTTCACAACCCTTTTCACTTAAACGTTTAAGCAATGTGACATCAAGATTGTTGTAATGCATTCATATCTGCAGATGTTACATGAAGCTGAGGGATTCCTTATGTCCTACATAAATAGTTACATCTATTTACTGTATACATATGTGTAATTGTGGATGGATCATTTTACAGAAATCCAATTCTTTCACCATGATTATGATGAGTATCAGTAAACACAACAAAAATATCCGAATGCAGGACTCTACGCTAACATTTGGAGAAGGAGGTCCTGATTTACCATTTTACTATCTGTACGCATGAGCCCCATGTGAACATTTCAAAATTTAAGGAGCCAGGGGGGTGTTTCACAAAGATCCTAAGTAGAACTTAACTCTAAGTTGAACTTAAAAGTTATGGAAAGCCATTAGCATCCTTGAAAATATTTTGTAAAAGTTATTTTAAAAGGCATAAAATGTTGATTCAAATCATTCGTATTTTCTATTATCATGGGAGATTTCATGTTCTTGATGTGGAATTTATAAAAATTCTAAAATACTTGAATTTCTGTTTTTGAATATATTTCATTTAAAGACTCCAATGGCTGTCCATAATTTTTAAGTCAAACTTAGAGTTAAGTTCAACTTAGGATCTTTGTGAAACACCCCCCAGGACTTGGATTTTGTGCGCCCTTGTGTCCCAGATGCCTGTTAATGTTGAGCCCTACCTAGTGTTATCTTTTTACAAATCTATGTAAACCACAAACATTTTTGTTGTATATTTATGAAAATCTAATGATACATTGTATTTTGGTGATTTATTTCACAATTACAGATGGATTGATCTCACAAGGCGTGGAGGATGTCTTTGTGCTGTGTACGAGAGGAGAGCTCAACAAGTACCGAGTGCGCCGTCTGATGCAGGAGTACACCACGGCGGGGCTGAGTGTCCACCATTACCCCTTCCCCGCCGGTCTCGTCCCTTCCCCAGCAAACTGCATGAAGATGCTAGAGGAGATAAGGATCAACCTCAACGCCGGAACAGGCACGTTGGTCCACTGCTTTGGAGGGATCGGCCGGTCTTCCCTCATCATTGCGTGCTTGCTGCTGATGCTGGATGACTACATGGAGTGGAAGGACGCCATTGCAAAGGTCCGCCAGCTCAAAGGATCACGTGCTATTCAGACAGTCAAGGTATGTGTTAAATTTATTTTTTGTCTCTTTCATTTGGTAACATGTTGGTACAACCATAAAAAAAAGGTAGTTTCAACTTCTTCTTTTTTCCCTGGCATCTGCATCTTGTATTTTCTCCCATATTAAAGTATTTATTTTAAATGATTACCATACTACTTTTTTTTCTGCTTTTTTTTTACTTGTTATTATTGTTTGTGCTTTCACGATTTTCTTGTATTGTGTTATATCTGTTTTGTTATCTTATAATAATAATAATAGCCTAATAGTCCACTCCAAATTTTATTAAACCGAAACGGAAATTCTTTTTGCCCAATTGATCGTGAGCCCGGCAGCCACTGAGCAGCGCCAGATCGACGTTGCTCTATCCCTTATTGTTGAACGCCAAACAAGGTAGCAACAACTCCCATCTTTTAACGTCTTTTGGTATGACGCGGCCGGGGTTCGAACCCACGACCTCCCGGTTGTGAGGCGGACGCTCTACTGACTGAGCCAACACTCCTTGTTTATATTATAAGACTTTTTTTGTTAGGTTGGATTTCTTTCCTGTTAAAGGAACAATTGATTGAATTCTTTTTCAGCATTATTCCTTAAAACGTTTGGCATGTATGACAAATAGAGTGATATGTAATGACAGACTCAATGATATTGTTTATTTCTTTACTATTGGATTTCTTTGGAGCATTTTGGATTGATTTTGATTCTTACTGGATTTCTTACAGATCTTTTCCAAGTCAAATCAAGTTTTTTTCTGTCATGCAATGATATTACTTAAAATAAAATAAATTGTCAAACTAGCTATTTCCTTTAGGGTATGCAAGATTGTGAATTAGGGTTTTGCAAGAGCAACCCAATGTTCATTAGCCACTTCAAATTGATGAGATATTTTAAATGTTGAATAAAATGATCAACTTTATGATTATATGTATGATAAAATGTATTCTTCTCCCAATTTTCTTCAAACTGTTTGACTTTTAAAAGCAATACAACTTTGTGAGTGACTTCAGAAAGATGAGAGAGGAATATGAAGCTACCAGGCCGGACGGTGACAGGCGTTCCATATCTCGGTGAATCACCATGTGTTCTGCAAGCTTTTTTGATTCATCATTTGAAAAACACTGGAGGGATGGTTGCAATCTTTTCTGTTTTAATGACCCACCAACCAGTGTTATGAAATTATTGAAATCATGGTGAGAAAATGATTTTTTTTTTTTTTTGTGGTAATAATGTTGGGGAAATGCTAATCCTTAGAGAGAGAAATAACCTGGTATCATAGGTGTATATGTGCATATATTTTGAGTAAAAACACATGCAGTACAAACTGCTGTATTAATCTTGAATTTCTGTTGATACTTGGTCATTCTATGGTAAGTTCTTTCATTTCTGTGCCAACTCACCTATGCTGTCTGTTATGCTTTTTGTCATACAGATCTAGCCATTTATATAAGATTTGAAGTAAGAAAATTTGTGTAAGTTGTATATATGTCATGTAAATAAAATTTATATAAGAGTACTATATATTGTAAGACTATAATTTTATATTTTTAAACATTTATTATTTGTAATGTGTATCAATGTGATATGGAATACTAACAGAAATGTGATTCAGAAGCAAGATTCTCATCATTTTGATAATGAAGGGAAGAAGAAAAAATTATTTACAAATCTCACCTTTTTTTTCTTCTTCATTGAATAAAAAAATACATGAGATGGGATTCATGTTATAATAGTCTTGCTCTAATCCACATGTATTTAGATTAGATTTATTGTGTCCCAGTACTTTATAACATGATTTCCTGAATTGATTTACTCTCCATATATTTGGACATTGATATTACTTCATTTCAATTTGATATTTAATTATACTAATTTATTTCAAGTGAAATGAAATTTATTAACAAGTATGAGTGTATTTATATCCACTCAATGCACTGTATATATTCACCCTGATCAGCTGAGCTTATTTACACAAGGAAAGTTTTTACCCTGGAATCGTAGCTAATTGAGAGAGATAGTTGTGACACATGCATCTACCTGTATGCCAGAGGGGTTGTAGGTTAAATCATGGAGCTCCAAATAGTTCCCTCACACATACAGTCTCTATGTGAAGAACTTTTTTTGAGCTTCATGAAATGCCTGACCAATCTGAAGCAACTTCCAGTGACCAAACTATCTCTCTCAGGTAGTTATGACTGGAATAATGCATTTATTGATTGCCATTTTGCTTTATGAATTTTGCTTTAGAGGAACAGCATAGTTTATGGCTTTCATTCTTGGTGAATGAGATGATTATTTCTTTCCAAAAAAAAATATATGTATAAAAACGTGTATCAAACTATAAATTTGAAATGTTATGCTAGATCTAGAAGATATCATTGTTTTAAAATGGTGAGAATGGTAAACTATAGACATCAAATCATGAGGCGGATCATTAGCAAAAATTGTTGAAAATCGTGCATTTCCAATTTGTAATTTACAACTGAATAAAAATTTCCATGGTTATCGTGGAAGTAGTAAGCTTGTTTATGAGAAGTTTTGTTGAGACTAGTCAAGTTTTCCTGGACATGAGGGTGTGGAAACATGTATGCATCAATTTTTTTATTGATATGGTAGAAGTGAATTACAGTGTATTTGTGTGTGTGTCTAGAAATGATGAGACATAGTAATAAATATATATATATAATCTTGTATCATACTGCAAATTTGACATCTTATTCTAGATAAATTCTATATTGATATGGTAGAAAGGATTTATTTACAGACAACCGAAGCTGTGACATAAAATCCATTTTTGGAATTTTCCTTATAATAAATGTCGAAAACCAATTGAATACGGGTTGGCTGAAATATGACCATCTGAATAAATAGATTTCTTATAGGAACTCGGTGTTACCAGTATTTTGCTCTGGTTCGTAATGTTATGAACCAGAATAAAATAACATGAGTTCCTATGTACAGAAAATCTAAAGTTTCAAACATTTTTTTAACTACGAAGCTGACTGCATCAACCACACAACACGCTCTTCAGTTCCTTTTATCTATATATTTATTGCTCATGTCACAACCTTCTCCAACATGTATGATTGAATACCTGGTATCTTCATTCTTATACACACATTTAAACAATTATTACTAGGGGTGGGAGAATAACAGTATGCACAATTTAAAGAGATAATGCGATTTAATAAAAAATGGGGTCTATTTATCAACACAAAACCCTACATTTCACGAATGCAAATAATAGGTGAAAGGGAACAACGCGTAGTGTCAAAATCGCTTCTTTTTTTTTTAAATTACAAAACCTCGATTTTGGATATAATGTAGAACAAATAAATTGTACCGTACATGTAGATTCCATCAAAGGAATCTTTCTCTACTACACATTATTCTAGATGTGAAATATACACCGTCCACATTTATCTTACACATTTAATTGAAAGCCTTCAAATATTAATGGAACCGTCCGTTTTATCACATACATGTTTTTAGATGCATCTACAATTTTACATCTGCAAAACTTTGTTGAAATCTGAAAGCAGTCTACACATACATGCATGATGAAACAATGCATCACCATTCTGAGATGATATATTGCAGTTATATGCACTGCCTTTCCTCAGTTTTATTTTATTCTTTTAATGTAACCTTTCTTAAAATTGTGATGATTGTTAAATGTTATGTTGAAATGTAATTATTTTGTCTGTATTTATATATTTATATTTGTATGTACATGTAAAGCACCTTTAAATGTCCGAAGGCAAATTTAATGTATTTTTTACATGACAATAAATTATCTTGAATCGTTTGAATCTTGAATCATGTAAATGGATGGACGTATATCTTTCAAAGTCAATATAAGCAGGAGTGATCATGTACACTGAATACAAAATTTCAAGAATAAAAGAATGGTTAATATCCCCCTGAATGGTGTCTGAATGTAAATGAATACCACCAGTAGACACATTGCTCATGTTCTAATTCATTATCAAAATGGTTTAGAAATATCAAGTGCTCCTTTCATATGGGTAAAAGTTAAATACATTTCAAACACTCTTATTGTTCTTCAGTTATTCAATTCAAGTATAAATTTTTCCTTCTCATAAAACGGCTCGACACCAACAGGCCCCTGGGACACATGGGCGCCCAAAATCTAAGTCTAGACCCCAACAATTTTAAGGGGGCCCCCCTTCCAACAAAATAAGGAAGTGTGGAGCCCTGCATAAATTATCTTGACATAATGGTCTAAAATAGATTTAATTTCATTGACTTCTACTGTGAAATCAGATACCCTGTATACATAGACTTATTCCATACTGAGTATCATGAATGAACTACCAAACATTATGTGTTGAAAAAAATTCTAACTTTCATGTTCAGACTGGGCACAGCCACAAAATCTGGTCATGTCATGATTGTCATCAATGGGGAGAAATTTGTTCAGTACCCCATCAGTGCTACATTTTGATGAACACTGTTTGATTAAATAACAAATCTACATCCACAATGTCTTTGGCAAAAATAAGAGCTATTCTTTGCCAGCCACGGCACTGAAAGGTTTGATAGAGGAAATAACAATGCCAATGTGTCATTTTGGTCTTTTTAAAATATAATAATGCACATATTAATTTACCAGTTACATTCACACACACAGTAACATCACTTTGCATAATTTTTCATTTAATCACAAAAAAAGAATATCTATACAGAAGTGATTGAATCACATTTGAGAACAATAAACATGGACAACTATCACATTCTTCATAATTATCATGAATTGGAACTAATTTATGCATCTATCATAGTGTAAAAACTAATAAATAATACATTGAAATGCTATATACCTCCATTTTTGTACCGTTGGCAGAGACTTTCCAATATAAAGATGTCCCAAACATCAACCCCCTTCAGATATCTACACTCAACTACAAAAATAGACTGTTACCACCACAAAGATTCCACTATAGGGTGGATGATTATCTATGATTATTTGCAGAAATTTACTTTATCGCTATGTACAGTGAAATCTGCTTTAGCAACCACCTGTATAGAAAGACCACTTGTCTATAAAGACTACATTTTCTTGTTTCCCTTCAAATATCCTTCCTCGTTGAAACATATACTAAAAAAACCTGTACATAAAGACCACCTACGAATAAAGAATAATGGAAAATAATCTTAATTTGATACACTGATCAAGATCATTGAATTTGTGAGGCATTGTAGAGCAAGCGCCCACCAGCAAGCGCCCACTACAGAAGCCATAGCCATCATCATGATCAAAAACCACTTTTCTTGTTTCCCTTGAGCGGTCTTGATATACTGATTTCACTGTTCCTTGTACAATTCACATAATAAAATACTGAAGTTTGATTGGGTATTTTATAATTCCTACAATATCAAATTAATTGATACTTTATAGAGATGTCTAATGAGAATAACTTGCCCAAAGCTCAGTACAGCATTAAAATGTACATTTACTCACTGCCTATGGGAACCACATGGGTCCTGTATTAAGCCTAAGGGAATGCTACGTTGCAGGAGTTGTCTGATTAAAAGTACAATAAAATAGCCTGCCCTGTTGTGTATCAGCATATTTTAAAGTTTTAAAAATGCTGGCACCCTCTTTTATTCTGTTTGCAGCTAAAGGTGTTCAATTTGGAAACATTGAATCCTAATCTATTGCCAGTTTATCAGTAATCATTTATAGTTTATCATGAAAGTTACTGCATTAGCTACCTCTAAAGCAACAAGCAGAAATGAAGCTATGCCTTCATAGAAATATGAGCAAATCATAATTACACACCTAAAGAAACCCTAATTTCTATTTAGCAGAAGACGGCCCCATTCATTAAAACATTTTGCCTATAAGATTTGCCTGTATGCAAAAGTGACTTCATATGATGACAGTCAATACTGTGCCGGGTATTTATCTTGTTTAATACTGAAAAGCACGACAGCAATTCATGGGAGGGGAATTTTAGCTCGATCATGATTTTGGACCTCATTTCCGTCTCCAAACGCTGAGTTGGGGCACCGTCCATTGGTTTTTCCTCGCAGTTTCCCTGATGAACATTGGGAGTCCTCTGTCGTCCATCAGGGTGAAATCAGGCCCTAGTATCCTCTTCAATGAGTCAAGGGTGTTCACAGGTTTGCCCTCTTTGTCCTTGTAGCCTCCAAGCCATTTTGCCTGTTCAGAAGTAAGAAAACATCATGATTAAATCAATCTTGAGCAAGTCATGTAAGTTCAATTACGACTATGTTTTCAATAATTCTATTCTAAATGTGATTCTCATGGGTATCTTTTGGAAAACTTAGGTCCCTATCAGTGGTCCTGCATGTTGTTTTATAAGCTCATCTGAGGAAATTACATAATTTTTTCAGGTAAGATTGTCATGTTTCCAGTTGCCCCTTTGGCAGCTCACACTGGAAGCTATACTGGGACGGTAGGTAGGAGGGGGCCTGCCCCCACCTCCCTGGATCCGCCACTGGTCACAACTGGTGCTGATCTTATTTTCTTTACCATAAACCTCTATGTTTTTTAAACTTCAAAGACTTCAATTTCAAAATTCTTCATGAAAAATAAATGACTAGCTCAGATCACCTACCTTTGGTGTGAATTCTGAGTCCCAGGAAGCTGGCGTTGTGAGCACTAGTAAACCCCCTGAAGCAACTAGACCTGGAATTCTGTTAAGGAAGTCCATTGGGTCTGGTAATCTGCATATAAGATTGGCTCCCACCACACAACCAAACTGGCCCAGGTCCAGGGGAAGGTTACAGGCGTCGCCTTGCTGGAAGTGACATCTTTTCCGATCCTAGATGTAGATTACAATCATAAAACAGAACACAGTCAATGAGTAGGTAAATTACAACTACAGTGTATGACATGAACAATTCATAGATTTTCATCAATGTAAATGGAATAGGCCATCCATCATTCATGTAACACTATGAACATGACTGACAATGAGAGCGGACAAAATATACAGTTCCTCAGGTAGACAAAGGAACATCCCTTGTAAAAATGTGTAGAACAGGTGTCACATGCATATTCACCTTTTTACATAATAGCTGTGAAGGGATGTTCCTTTGTCTACCTGAGGAACTGTATATTTTGTCCGCTCTCATTGTCAGTCATGTTCATAGTGTAATCTAAAGATGTGTTATCTTGTATTTTGCTAAGTAAAGATATAGAAGAAGAAAAAAAGTTCTTACAAACAAATGTGCCAAAAAACTTCAACTGAAGATGTCCAAATCATAGAAAGAATGGGATACTTACTATTGTTGAATCCACAACTGCATTCAGGTCTGTACATAGATCGCCCTCATCTGTGACAGAGTACTGTAAGTTACCATGGTCCTTGAGAAGATTACAAGCATCTATGAAGGCATGACTGAAATCAATGCCAACAACCTGCTCGAATTCTCTTGCCAGCTCAAAGGATGTCCTCCCAACAGCACAACCAATGTCAAGAGCTCTGCTAGGGATTGTGCTCTGTTACATGAATTAAAATAAAGTATGACTATGAATTTAATTGAGTTTCAATTCTATTTAATATTTTTCATTAATATGATTAGGCTAAATATGATACAAATCATACAACCAATTCTCTGATACAGATACTTAACCGCATTTCAAACGAAGTTCAAGATTCATTTATTACATTTTCTGAATGTGTTAAATCATAACTTATTAAGACTAAAAAAATTAAAAATAGCATATATTTGACTTACGATAGCTTGCTCATTTAGATCCTAAATTAATGATTAATCTGAGAAAGTCTCGTCATCAACATTATCCGTCTTGGTTTTAGTTGATGAATATTCATTTTTTCTTTTCGAACGTCCAATAGCTACCGTAGCTACATACGAGTCAGCCCGGCTTGACCAACGAACTCCCACGAAACGAGTGCTCTGATTGGCCATTTGGCTATGTTTTGGTAGGTTGACGCGGTAATATTTTGGCCTCTGGGTCATATAGCCCTATGTTCGAGTGCATGAACGTACTGTTTCACAGTTCTGAGATACAAATTGGATAATTCATATAAGTAAGTCCGTAAATTATACATTTAATATTAAGTTATCAAATTTTGATAACTGCAATTAGGACAAATGACATACCGACCTAATTTACATCTGATTTAGAAATCAGAAAATTAGATCTAAATAAAGAAAATCGGGGAGAAAATATTTTGAACGAAAAGATGTACATTGTTGGCTCTAGCTACCCCCACGGTACGAGATCTCTGGGTTACCATCTGTATTGGGGAATGTCAACAAATGTCAGTTTTATTAAAGAAATGACCCAAATCAGATGGTTATTTCTGTCTAATCAGGTACCTGTAGATATATCTTTTTATACTCCAGATGAGAATATATTTTTAGCCTTTACATCCTGGTCACTGTGCTCTGGTGATGGTGATGGTGAACGAGAGTCTGATGCAGTTTAAAACACCCACAGCCTATGGTAACCGGACCCTGAAGAAGCTTAGTGACCGAGGATTACAGGATCTCTCCTCGTATCATATGATGATGATGATGTTGATGAGTTTTATAAATCAAGCAGAGAAAGTATGGGAATGAGAGAACTCTCTGGTAAACTTGGTAAATGGCTTAAATCTAAAAGTAAACATAATAGGCTGAAGTTCCAACAAGTACAAACTAATACAAACAACACATTATAGATATACACCTTGTCTGTAGTGAGAAGAGCCTGTAGTGCTTCGTCTGCGACTCTTCGAGGGAAGTCGAGGGCATCTCTAGGGCCGAAACTGTAGCGTAGAACTTCCTCCGGTGCACCGTAGTGAAAAACTAAATACTCGTTGACAAGTTTCTCAGTTTCATACTTATTTTCAACGTCGGCACGGCTCTCATCGTATCTTAAAAGCTTGTAAGTTGAATAAGCAGCAATGCTGGACGTTGCTAATAAAGCAGCTCCCACAAAATAGTGTCGGTTACTGCAGAGGTTGCTGCCTACACTTGTAAGAATATTATTAGCCATTTTTGCGTCGAGTCACTTTTAATGTAGCACAATGCAGAACACATGTGTACATGCCGATGACGTCACGCCACCGGCCGGTGTATATTTAGTCTATTGTTTCAGACAATGGAGAGAAAGAAAAAAAGAAAAAGTTGTCCAAGAGAGGGGCGGCGCAGGGGTATACGGAGTTTATGGAAAGATCCTCAGAATGTTTGTGTATGATCTGAACAGATTATATTCCCTGATAATTTTGAGGGCGTACTTGGAAAGCAGTTTTGTTAAACTGAATTTAAATCTATATGAAACTTGAATAAATAAATAAATAAATAAATAAATTCAGATTCTTTTTTCTTTAACAATTATGTTTTCCTTTAGGAATCTGTGTAGGTCTACAAGATTAATTAAACCTTTGATTTTGTTTTCTGTCGTTTCCTTTTTCTTTTTTGGTATAGATCTATAGTGATTGAGAGTGAGAAAATTTCTTTCAAAATTATCAGGGAATATTCACCAGTTTAAATGTGTTACTTTATATTTTGCTGGGGCACAGTGCCCCCCCCTACACTTTTTCGATCACCCCAAACGTGTCCCTTTTTACTTCAGATAAGTTCCAAATTTCATTTTGTAATAAGTGCCTCTCTCTCATTTTGTTATGAATACCCATTTTACACCTCTGATAAATGCCCCTATACTGCCCTTCCATGAAAAAACAGCATAAGCTACAAGTAACTGACATTTGTTTGCAAAGTTGAGTTATTTCAGTTAGTGTGGGTGATTAAGAACATCAAGTTACATTTAAAAAATATTGTAATTACCTATTTTGATGAGTTAACGCTAAATAAAAACATTAACACACTAGCATCCAAATGCACGTTTCTTCCTAGGCCTATATCTCAGAAACACTGAAATGTCAGTTATGCTGTTTTGTCATGGAAGGGCAGTATTGCCTTTGAACTAAGTGCATTTTTCTCTTCTAAGAAGTGCCACTTTTCAGATCTATAATTTATGTCCCCTGTTATATGCGAAATACCCCTATACAACTCTGGTAATTGCCCATTCTGCTCTCAGACGGGTGACCCTTTTCCATCTGTAATAAATTCCCCTTTCCCCTCTTGTAAGTTCCACATTTTCAGGTGCAAGTGACCCTATCAAATACGATAAGTTAATGTTATGGTCATCTATAAAGAGGCCTGTCTATATAACGTCAACGAATCAGAGCAGCTTTGTGTAGTAACAAGAACTTTTTTCTATCACCACATGGAAAGGCAATGCATGGGGCAAGGGGAGGGGTTTGTCACCCTAAATTTCTTAAGAACGAATTGTGCCCCCTCATTTTACAAAATATAATTATGCTCGTTTTCGATGCTATCAAAATAATGTCCCTTCTCTAATATATTAGAAGTGTGCCCTTTTTACACTAAAACCTTTAAACTATGCATGACATATACTACTCAAATGCTAAAAGGGGCATCTGCATGCCAACCTATCGTATTTTTTGTTTATAGACCATGCCCTTTTGAACTTCATAATGCCAAGGTAATCTATTGACCCTTTTTTAATATAAATGTGTAGAAAATGTAAAAGTTTTGAAACTCAAGGCGACTGCATTTACATAACCAAATGTCATTCATGTTAAAAAGTCTGAGACATATTTGTTATACCCCTCATCTGCCCATAAACAGGAGATTTCTCATAGCCACAACCTTTTTAAAATGTGCCCCTAATTTAAATCGACTGAGAGCAATTTTTTCCCCCTCAAATTTCCTCTAAAAATCGCTAGCATTTATAGCTTATCTTAATCAGTATAGTTTTCATTCATTCTTTCATTATTAGATTGTGCTTAAAACTCCATAGGGATCGGTTATTTCATCTAATAATGAGAACCAAGCGGTTGCAATGTGACCTCAAAAGTGTGCATGGTGCTGAAGCAGTATCTTTGCCAAGTAAAGAGAACATAAGATAATCCCTGATAATTTATTTATTCAAATTTATGGGTATATATACAATGTCTAAAATTGTAATTTTTCGCTTTGGGGTTACCCTATGTCGGCGCCCCCTTTTTTCCTAAAAGTGTCCTTTCTTGATGGGGCACCTCCACTTTGATAGACCATGCTTTCATTTCTTTAACAGCGGTATCTATTTATTTGAAAGCGTTCTTCTTCTCCTCCTTCTCTTCTTCTTCTTCCTTTTCCTGTCTTTTGATTCAATGCTGCCATAATCTTGCCTATATAGTGTTCTTTTATGCTAATTCATTTTTATATCATTTTTTCAAACATACACACTCATGTGAATTAATATGATATTGATACATTTTTCCAATGAACAGTATATTATATAGGAAATGTAAGAAATCAAGTTTATGATAAGCGCTACAGCAAAAGAAAGAGAGTGACTTGCGACCTAGAAAGAGATTGATCATGATAATCTTTAATAAATAGATTAATCCTTTTAGAATTTATTAATAGTTATGTAAACACTTATATTTTAGCGGCATCCATAATATATTAATAAACAGGGAACAGAGAGTCCTTGTACATCCGGGGGGCTTGGGGGGGGGGGGGAGGAGTGGGGCCAGGGGTGGATCCAGCCGGTGGCAGAGGAGGGGCCATCGGAGGTGGTCCAATTCGTGAGAGAATATTTAGCGGCAAAGCAGCCAGCCGGTGAATAAAGGGGGTGGGGTAGTCAGCACTATTTTGTTTTAAATCGCGTCGGCCGATAATTCGCTCAGCGGGGGGGGGGGGGGGGGGGGGGGGGGGGGGGGGGGGGGGGGGAGGGGGGCAGTGAGCACTAATTTTTTTTTTTGGCCCTTGAAAATTTGAAAAATCGCACCCCCCCCCCCCCTCCCCTTGAGCGCCAGAGGAGGTGCCACATTTTTAAAAAAAGGGTAAAATTAACGTGTTTTTAACTGGATCCGCCACTGAGGTGGGCAACCCCATATAAACCCCATTGGTTTAATAATTTTTCCCCTGGTTCTTCAAAATATGGAAAAGGGGTGGGGGTATATGACACCACTGGTTTAGTAATTTTCCCCCTGGTTCTTCAAAATATGAAAATGGGATGGGGGCATGACGGATCATCAAATTAAATTTGGGATTTCCCATTGAAGGAGATCTTTGAAGGACTGACCTTTTTTCTTCTTTATTCCGTTCATGATCAAGATGCAAGAAGAATATACTGACACATTTGCTGCACATCACAGACCTGAAAAATTATCGGTTATCATAAAGAGAGAAACATGATTCCCTCTCATGGTACTAATGTCCTTTGACAAGGCATCAGTCTACATTTGCCACTCTCCACCCAGGCCCATGTGAAATAAATGATTATCCGATATGAACTTTGAGAAAATAAACTATTTCCCGGGAATGATTTTTATAGGGGAATTCCCGCTCCAAGCCTAGACTGCTCGACTTGGGAATGGTGATTGGTATGCTGCCAGCTATCGTCAAATGCCTTCATTATTATGAGAGGAATATGCAGAATTCATATGCAGCGCATAGGCAGAGCACAGGCGCTACACATACACTAGGCGCAGCTTGATTTTGGTTATTGTTATACGTGAGAAATACATGTAGTGTATGCGGTCCATGTAGTGAAGGCAGTGTGTGTGTAATTTTGGCTGCAAGAAGTACGCTGGCGCAGCGCAGGCAAAACAGGGTGACCTTCCGATTAATGTTCCATTCGGAACTGCCTGGCTGGGAGGAGATTTTCGTCAAAAATTCGTGAGAAATTTGCAATTGTTCTTCTTTCTGACGATGTCGACGCCTGAGAAAAGATCATCTGGAACTACAGTGAGAAGATCAGCACGATTGATTGAGAAAAAACCAAGCACTTCTTTGTCGAATGGTGAGAGCCTTTGTTTGACCCCATTCCGAATTATGTGCGCATTTACATTTAGCTAGACCCTATGTTAAAAATCCATGCAAAGTGAAATGGCGAACTGGTTCAGATATTATAAGCCGACTCAGTGTTGTCAATGGATAGTGATTGTTTGAAGATTGATGAGAGAGATATCCTATTCCTTCCCTATTCCTAATTATTTAGATCTAGGCCTATAAAGTTAGACTTGATCGATTCGTAACACTAGGTCTACACAGTCACAGTGGAATTTGTAACTGTCCATGCAACTAAAAATAATTGCAAGGAGAAGGACTATCGGTCGAGTATGGGCATGCATGTGTGGGGAGGGGGGGGGGGGGGATGCATGTCCGGACACTTGCTTAAAGTTGCTCAAGCATTGGTTTAAAGAGGGCAGCACACGGACGTACGCACAGGAGCGTAATACCCATTGGCTCAGTGTTATGTAGTGATCGGGAGTGATCAGCAAGTTGCCTTCTCCACGAAGGAGTCGAGCTAACTCGCGGCCCAAATACTCGGCCCAGCTGCAAAAACAGTCAGTTTTTGCAGGGTTAGGGTAAAATGACAAAAACTGACCGCTTTTGCAGCTGGGCCGAGTTGTCTTTGAGCCGAGTTAGCCCGGATTCTCCCGGAATGACGCATGAACATCTTTATTTTTAAGACAAGTTAACATTGACTTTTCTCAAAATATGCAGCAAATGTACTTCCGCACCAAATGTGATATTCGATCCATGATAATTGATATCCATAATCCAGACTTGTATCCTAATTAATTTATTTAGATCAATTAATAGATCTACTATGGAATGGACAAGAAAATTCTGGACTACAAATGGTTCATCTAGAATATTTATTGTCGAAAGAATTCTGTAGATCATGATCTCAAAATTACATTTCGGATTGGCGTGCGCTAGAAGTTCTGAACCGATGAAGAAGTCATAAAAACAAAGAGTCTTTCATTTGCGCATGAGAATTTACAGCTTATTTATCCAAAAGAACCATGGGTAAATTTAAAGATGATTGCATGAGTTGGAAGGCAAAATATCATACAGTCAGTTGTAATTGGTATCACATATTACTCACGATTGAATTGTTATGATAAGCTCTCTTTTTCCAGACCCTTGGCAGAAATGGCAGTAAGTTCGTAATTTTTTGGAATAAACGCAAAACCCTTCAAATGTGCCAATCTTTGTTTATGGTTGAATTATGTCTCATCCAATTTCAAAGAAATTTTGTTCACTAGATCTAGGATTCTAGGTAATTTTGTGTCTCCTGTTCCTATTGGAAATCAGATTTAAAAACAAATTATAATGTGCCCATTTACTTACCATAAGGACACAGCTGATTGCTTCTGTTTAAATGTTATGTTGAAATGTATTAACATAAGACTGACATGAACTTGTCATTTCGTTTTACACCGATGATAATCATTATAAGTGCGAAAGATATGGTAGCTACGAATGTAACATACCGTACAGGTATTTTATAGACACTTATTGCTGTAAGACCATTTGCTATAATGTAATCTTTCTGATAGGCCAATTCATATGTTTAGAAAAAGTGTGATTGTATCATTCTGTTAGTGACATGGAACTGAAAAGAGAATAGAATAGAATGAGTGACCCCTTTGTAATACATGATATTCATACATGTAGCAAAATTTCTACAAAATAAGATACCGGTATATATGTAATGATGATAATAATAGCAACATTTCTTATGCACTTGTATCCATCCCAAGGAATGCTTAATGCACCTAACAAAATATGTACATGTATATAAAGGACAGTTAATAAAATTGCATAACAATAAGAAAATACGTAACAATGTATAACAATAAGAAAAAGTAATTCAGGAAATTAAGTGAACTAATTTGACATGAGATAGGTTTTCAAGTTTCTTTGGAATGATTTTAGAGTGGTGAGATTCGGAACGAGTGGGGAAGGGAGTGCAGCAGCTACATTGCACATGTACATGTATGCACAATTGCAACAAAATAAGACATGCTACATTGTATAGACATGAGATTTTAATTTTCACCTCACATGAAATGCAAAAGAGCCCCCCCCCCCCTCCCCTAACCCCATTAAAAAAGTAGTTTCATTCAGATGGGAGACTCTGGGTTTTGTTGAGTTTTTCCCCCTTCCTTCTCATACTTGTAAGTGGGAAGAGGGGGGGGGGGGGGGGGGCTCTTAGAATTTAAAGGGTAAAAGTCATGAATTCTATCCACTTCTGTTGCCATGCTTTTTTTTTCTCTTTTTTTTTCAAGAGGAACTTGCTTACAAGTACATGTATTGTTAGCATGATTTCTACACTGCAATTCCTCTTGAGAGCTTTGAGTAGTGAACACATGCAGACCTTTTGTTATGCTTTGCATGATAAACAGACTTTGTAATTCTTTGGAGAAAGGTTGTATGAAGATGTGCTGTTCACATGTACACGTACATGTAGCTGTAACCAAAACAAAAAAGAATGAATACAGTAATTAGAACAAAATGATGGAAATAGTTATTAACAAAAATAATTTGGTTCACAATGTACCTGAATGTGTACATGATTTTATCAATAAGTTCAATAATGAAAATAGAGTAGGGGGTTTGTACATATGTACACTACATGTACTATCGAGGTGAGTAAAATGGAAAATGACATGAACCATGCCAATTGTGTGAGTTCATGTACATGACTACACGTACATGTATGGTGTTTGTTTCAGTCAGCCAGCTAGGCAGGCAGTGAGGCAGGCCTGTACTACATGTATGGGCTGTTAGAATAATGCATGCTGTATTCATTAGTCCTGTTAACAAACGAATACACAAAGCACTCTACAGTCAGAGTGTGCTGCTTCAGCTCAGCCAGGAACCTTCCTGAGCTGAGGTGTGCAATACATGTACATTCACATGTTCATTTAGCAACTCACTGTACCTGGCCTGTGCTGTACCGCACCGCTGGCCAGTTTCATTGTGCTGTATTCTAAGAGGGAATGTTGTCAGTACAATGTGAAATGGGGTTTTGCCAAACAGGACACAGAACAGTGTTATTGATGCAGTGTTTATGGCCTGTAAATACAAGAATGACTGTATACTCTACTTGTTTTGTCCAACTCTTTAATGCCCATGCTATACCTAGGCTATGGCTATGGTACATGTAGGCTTACATAATTTTTTTCTCGCATTCATTGAGAATTTTCTGCTCTTTTACATGAAAAGCAGGAAGGGATGCGGGTAACTTAGAAAATCAACTTTATTTTATATTATTTGACCTGTGTGTTAATGCAACTTTTTTTTAAAATTTGTTCAATGCATGGAATGGCCTAGATCTACATTAAACAAAACAAAAATATTGACAGACATGTACTGTACATTAGTCATACACGCACATGAACATGTTTCTGAATGGCATGGTCATGTGGGTATGTACATTAATAGGCTGCACATGTCAACAGGTACAGGGCAGACCCTGATTTTTTTACTGTGTTTAGAAAGCAGAAGCTATTGCTTTGTTGTGTATCATTTATGCAAATTGTACTATTCCTTTCAGAGAATGTATCAATATCAGAAATATGACAGATCTACAGCTTCATACAGATACATGAGGCCTACATGTACGTGTCATATACATTAGCAATACCCCCCACACCATTTCCTCTGGCAAATCTAAAATATTTCAATTAGCTCAGATTTGCGACAGGAAGCACAAATCTAATGTTCAAGGGGACGTCCCTTTGGTGAACTTTTCTCCTGCAGCCTCTCCTCTCCAGCTCTACTGCCAGCATGTGTCCACAAAGGTTTAGAGCCCTGTCCCTGTCGCAGTTGGCGTACTGTGTGGGAGGGCATTGTAATGTTTCTGCAAATGGGAGTCTTTCTCCCAGAGTGGCATTTCCATAGAAAGGGAGGATCAGGACACCCACATTGGTGTGGCTTTAGGCTTGAGCAAATTACAAGAAGGCCCACATATTCTCTACATTTTAATATGTAGGTTCCCCTCAAATGAGTCCAATATTATGTGGCGCAACTGGCATTGTCCTGTGAGTGGGCAGAGGGGTGCTGTAAATTCATTCATTTTCATTGACATTTGTCATCGTTACACAGACTGTGTGGGTGTAGGAGATGAACGTCCCGAATGCTTAAACTACATATGTAGGTCATTTTAAGGACCTTTTATAGGTGTCGGGTGAACTGCAATTAGTCTGTATCCTTTTGTGATCTGATTGATTGAGGTTCATGTAAAGAAGTACTTTTGCCTGGGGGCTTTTTAGATTGTATAATGAACTACACTGTAAATCATCTGTGATTGTTATTTGAAGTGGTAAAAATGTAGGGTCTGCTGGATTAAGATTTTATGATACGCTTCTGGAAGATTTACAAAATGATATCAATCAGGAAATTAAAATTCTTCTGTGGAAGAACATCTAATATTCCTATCCTTTTGAATATTGCAAATGGCAATCTTATCATGGTCTTTAAAAAAAGGAAAGATGTACATGTATCTATGAGAAATTCAATTATCAGTACTTGTGTGTGTTGTCATTTGAACAGATCAACTCATCCTATTTTAGAAACTGTGGGTATAATAATATGTCTCAGCCACAATGAGCAAGCTTGACTAATCAACAGCTGCCTCGCAAACTTGGAAGTCTTTGTTTAAGCCAGTGAAGGGACAAAATAAGACTCAAGATTAGGTTGTTGAGTATAAACTCTGCTCAACAAGAGGTTGGCTCTTTTCATGGGGATTATGGAAAAAAAGAACTTTGCTAAGCTTATTTTTAACTAAGGAACATTTAAAGTTCAAAATAATGTAGCCAACCTTTTAAAGTGTGTTTCATGCTACAGTAATTATGAGCTTGTCAAAAAGTCATTACATGGAAGAAAAGTCACCTTTTAATTTAGCAAGAACATCTCTTCCCCTTGGCTATTTTTTACTGTATTTTGCCTCAGATTTGTGTTCACATTATACTGATATTTAGACCCATGTGTATATGGGCCTAC